GACATGAAAAGGTGCAGGAGAACTGCATTGATCTTGTGGGTCGTATCGCCGATCGTGGTGCCGAATACGTCTCTGCACGTGAATGGATGCGTGTTTGTTTTGAGTTGCTGGATTTGCTCAAGGCACACAAGAAGGGTATTCGACGAGCTTCTGTCAACACTTTTGGCTACATTGCCAAGGCTATTGGTCCCCAGGATGTGTTGGCTACGCTCCTCAATAACTTGAAGGTGCAGGAACGTCAAAACCGTGTGTGTACAACCGTTGCTATTGCTATTGTTGCCGAAACGTGTGCACCATTTACCGTGTTGCCAGCAGTAATGAACGAATACCGAGTACCAGAACTGAACGTGCAGAACGGTGTTCTCAAGTCGCTCGCATTTATCTTTGAATACGTTGGTGAAATGGGCAAGGATTATATTATGGCTGTTACGCCGCTTTTAGAGGATGCATTGATGGATCGCGATCTGGTGCATAGACAGACCGCATGTACCACGATCAAGAACATGGCCCTTGGTGTTGTTGGCTTGGGTTGTGAAGAACCATTACGGCATCTTTTGAACTACATCTGGCCAAATATCTTTGAAACTAGGTACGTGCAACATTTCGTTGGATCTAGTAGCAGCAGTAGTAGTATTAGTAGTAACGAATCACTCACACTACCTCTTATTTCTGAATATAGTCCTCACGTAATCAACGCAGTAATGGAGGCCATTGAAGGCATGCGTGTTGCGCTTGGTCCTACGACGATCTTGCAATATACCGTGCAAGGACTTTTCCATCCTGCTCGAAAGGTGCGCGAAGTGTATTGGAAGATTTACAACACTCTGTATATTGGCAGCCAAGACGCATTGGTTCCGGTTTATCCCCGCATTGATGATGATGAGCGCAATCATTATCAGCGATACGAACTTGACTATCTCATTTAAAAGAAGCACCTTCACATCTCTTCTTTTCTTTCTCATTCTCCCTTGTTCATATATTCTGTTTCCTATATCATATAATAAAAAGCTCCTCGTTATTGATGATAATATCGTAAAATTGAATGCATGGTTTTCATCTTTCTCAGGGGTGTCTATAGCCAACATGAGTGATAAAGTATATAGCGACTCATTCATTTGGTGTGTTAATAATATTCTTTATTCTGTAATATATAATAGGGTTGAAGAGGGAGTGTGCTTGTGTCAGAGTAAAGAATCACGAGCAAAATTAACGTCGGACTTCAAAACATTTTCACTGATTGATAAAGAGAGTTCCAACTCTTTTCTTTTTTTCCAACTTGACCTACAGACTTTAGCAACATGGCGACGAAATCTGCGTACAGGCGATTGACTAAAGAGTACATGGAGATTCAGAAAAAGTAAAGTATCGACCCCGATCGTGTTTTCGAAAGAAAATTGACAGATTACTAATCTGTTTATCATTGTTTGTTAGTCCACCGCCTTTTATCATCGCCAAACCGGTGGAAAGTAACATTCTAGAGTGGTAAGGGCTCAGTAAAATTTAAAGAATTCTTGTGGAAGCATCTTGATTGAAATCGAAACCTCACATTGTAGGCATTATGTGATTCGCGGACCGCCAGAAACACCTTTTGAAGGAGGAGAATACTACGGACGACTTACGTTCCCGTCTGAGTATCCTTTCAAACCTCCAGCCATTCGAATGACAACGCCCTCGGGACGATTCCAGCCAGACACACGGCTTTGTTTGACCATGAGCGACTTTCATCCCAGTCTTTGGAATCCGAGCTGGTCTGTGCCGACAATATTGAATGGACTCTTGAGTTTTATGGTAAACAGGAGGGACAAACGCTTTTTATATAACAAACATATCTGGATGGTTCCTATTGATACACCGCATATGGGAGAGGGAGAGAGGCAGTTACTAATGTTTGCTTTTTTTTTTTAAAAAAAAATAGACGACCGATGAAACAACTACTGGCAGTATTAAAACAACGGATGCAGAAAAGCGTGTATATGCAGCACGATCACACAAAATGAACTTGAAAAATGTGAAATTTAGAGGTAAAGAAGAGGACAGGCGTCTGTGTACGAGTAGTGCTACAGAAGAAGAAGAAGAAGGGTGACTGATACAGGCAAAAACTATATTAGATGTCTTCCCTGAACTATGTACGTTGGATTTGGCACCTTTGGCAAATGCACCTGTGAATTCGGATATGCGGCGGAGAGTGGCAACAACGACAGTGAAAAAGTCAACGCAGCGCGCACCTCACTCGAATGAACAAGTAGCACCAGGTCAACAGGGTCAGCACCAGCACCAGCAGCAACAGCCACAACAACAGACCGCTTTGGCTAGGACCGTCAGTCAGTGGAGACGATGGGCATTGATTCTTTTGGTGTTCGTCTATCTCGTGCTCTCAAAGCTGGCAGCTCGCTCGACCACGGCTGCTGAAAGTGATGCATCGTCGTAATGATCAAGATGTGCTTTTTTCTACTACTTTTCCCGTATACCTCTTTAACGACTGCTTCTTTTTCTTTCTTTCTCTCTTCTCTACCTGTTTGTGATGCATATTCCCTCTCTTCTCCACACCTCAAACTCATTGATCACCGCGCTTGACCTCCTTCTCTCACCCTCCAGTTTTCCCGTCATTCTTCTTTGAACATTTAGCCTATGAAATTTGTACATAAACAGTCTCTCTTCTTTTCTTCGCTCCCAGTTTAGTTTTCTTTTTGCTGATCTGACACCCAGCGACACCCAACAAGGGTGTCAAGGCAGAAAAGGTGAAACCCTCATTGGAGAGCACACTATATAAGTTTCAAATTTCTGTGTGTGTGTGTGTGTGTGCTCTGTCTCTAATTTAATGAAATCCAAACAAACACAACCTTGCCATGGGGAAAGGGAAACGAGCACACACTATAAGCAGCGCGCCTGCAATCACTTCACTCGTCTCCATACCACGCCGCGCCTCTGGCGATCTCGTCTTCAGCTTGACGCCCTCTAGTTTCTTGACCCGACCATCATCACAGCAACAGCCACCGCCGCTGCCACCACCAAAGACACCTCGCACGTTACGATGGACGCCGCAATTGCAGCCAAAACATACCTACGTCGAACTTGAACACAAGATGGAGAACGCGCCGCTTATTATACTGATGCAGACCTATCTCAACTGGTTCGTTCTCATCCTACTTGGCCATTTGCGTGATATCCTTGGCAAAACATTCAAGAAATCCGAGTATCGCTACTTGCAAATGAACGAGGTATAGCTTATGCGTTTCTCTCTCCGTAACTCCCTTGACGCATTACTGAAAATGGATATGGATATCACAACCAGGGATATGCGCCATTGGTATCGGACTTTGACTCTTTTTATACGCGGCGACTTTACATGCGCGTCCGCGACTGTTGGAATCGACCCGTTACTGGTGTAGCCTCCCGCACCGTTCAACTCTTGGATCGCACGACGAAAGACTACAACAGAACCTTCCAGCTGACCGGCAAGATATCCGAGTGTCTCAATTTCGCGTCGTACAACTATCTTGGATTTTCGCAGAAAACGGGACCGTGCGCCGATGCTGTGCAACAAGCAGCGCTTGAACGCGGTCTTGTTTCCACCACTCCCCGTGCTGAAGGTGGTACCAGTGATATGCATGCCCACCTTGAACGCCTTGTAGCTGAATTTGTTGGCAAAGAAGCCGCCATGGTGGTCAGCATGGGTTTTGCTACCAATTCGACAACGATCCCTGCGCTTGTGGGCAAGGGCTGTCTGATCATTTCCGACGAGCTGAACCATTCCTCGATCGTGTTTGGCGCCCGTTTATCAGAAGCTTCGGTGCGGGTCTTTAAGCACAACAGTATGCAGGATTTGCATGATGTATTACGAGAAGCTATTTCCCAGGGCCAGCCAAGAACCCATCGTCCATGGAAGAAAATCTTGGTCGTCGTTGAGGGTCTTTATTCCATGGAGGGTACGATTGCCAATTTACCTGAGCTTCTCAGGCTCAAGGACCAGTTCAAGTTCTACCTGTACGTGGATGAAGCCCACTCAATTGGTGCGCTGGGCGAGCATGGTGGTGGCATCTGCGACCTATATGCCGTGGATCCTGCACGCGTGGACATCCTGATGGGAACATTTACAAAGTCTTTTGGAGCTGCTGGTGGATATATTGCCGCAAGCAAGAATGTAATTGATCATTTAAAGTTACGAAATCATGCCTACGTTTATGCAGAGCCAATGCCGGTGCCTGTTATTCAGCAAGTGCTCACAAGTATGTCTATTATCTGGTACGTACCATATTCTCCTCGTTTGTCTTTACACTTTCACTAATAGCAAATGTGAATTAAGTAGTGGTGAAGAAGAAGGACGATGGCGCATTCAGCAACTGTCAGACAACTCCCACTACTTTGCATCCCAGTTAAGAAAAATGGGGTTTATTGTTTATGGTGACCGTGGCAGTCCGGTGATTCCACTGTTATTGTTCAATCCTGGAAAGATAGCGTAAGAATCGAAAAAAGTCAATTAAAGTAAGATGAAGGTAGCTAACCTATAATTATTGTACAGAGCGTTTTCACGTGAACTTTTAAAGTGTGGCATTGCCGTCTGCGTCGTAGGATACCCCGCTACATCGATCATTTCTTCACGCGCACGATTTTGCTTGTCTGCATCACATACAAGAGAAGATATCGGTGAGTGTTATTTTCTCTTCTCTAAATTCTCCATGCACCTATTCCTCTTACTGATTTTGGTATCTATCTCCTTTAGATCGAGCATTAAAAATCATCAATAGTGTAGGTGATGTCCTGATGCTAAAATTCTTTGCTCCCAATAGAGATGAGCAAAATAAACCGGCTGTGTGTAGCTAAAATATCAACCATATAAAATCTGTAACCGGTTTAGCTCCATAGAACTAATTCTATGAAGCAAAGCATTGCTTCATTGTCAAGATTGAGAACTATGATTATGGGTCCTTGTTTTTGCGCTATACAATACCTGTCAACAAAGTTAGTAGAACGGTATATGTTAAGCTTGCATCAGAGGGTGTAATCGTATGGAAGAGCATAATTTTTGTGTCAAAAAAGGAACCAGCGCACAACTTTTGCCGTAGACGACATTACTTATGAGTCATATAGTGATACCTACACTCGGTCCAATCTCTTTCTTTTTATCTTATCATAATTTATTGATGTAAAAGTAAAGTTTTTACGAGCTCTAAATTCACTGTAATTACTATTTGGAAACCAGGCACTTTGGTCGGTTATAGCAAATGGATTTTCGAATTTCAATATTTTGTATCAATGAAGATCAGTTCATTTAGAACTCTTAGCTAACAATCTATTACGTGTATATCTTTGTACTTCCCCTTTGCTTTTGAGCTTCAATAATCTCGAGGTTTTTGAGCAAATAACAATGGGGGAAGTTGGCCAAAGGTAATAGCACAGTTTTCAGAGCAAGTACTTGGTAAAAAGAAGTACGATGCCTATGATACGGCAAAGCGAGCGCCATAATCGGTATTTAAGCTGTGACTTCCGAAAGGTGATAAAGGATAAGAGGGGAGGCAAGATTCTCCAAGCTGCAAAAAAGAAGGGACAAAACACGTACACTATGTGCATAGTTATCTGCAAAATCCCAGTCGCTGTTTCTATCAGTATGCTCACGTACATCATCTTTATCCCAGGGCCACTCCTTGCCTGTATTCTTGAGTCCAACAACACGCAGCAGCGCTTCCTTTACTGTAAAATCATTACTCGATTAGGATACAGGGTCTGTACTCTGCTCTCTGTATCTTTCAAGTTTGAATCAAATCGAAACTTCTAGGCAAAAGTCTCTCTTTTTTTTGGCTATACCTGTGATAATATTATTTTAAAGATGATAATACGCCATCATTATATGTTCCATCAATGGTTTCATATTATGCCCGGCCGGGTATATACGGTTGTGTAGATGCGGGTTTAATCATTGCGCAATGTTTAGTTCTTTGAGCGCTCGTAGTTTTAGCTAAGCTTATATCATAACGGAGCGAGTGCCTGGAAACTACGCGACGCAAAACGGCAGCACTTTACCACTATCATGAGTGCAGAAACAAAAATCTGTCAAGGTAGCGATTCCACGCCGATAAGTTCTGGGAGTTTTGGTTGCAGGTAGTAGTGTTTTTTTAATTGTTAAATATGCCAGTAGCAGTAATAATAGTACAGTAGTGAGTAGCCTATAGTTTTAGTCGTTGAAGAATAAACATCAGAAATGAGCTCCGTCTTGATGTTTTTGAAGTGCTAGTATATATGTCGTTTCAAGAATGTGCTTGTTGGTAATACCTAATGCCTCGGATATCCATGTGTTTTCAAGGGAACAGTGGGCGCTTGTTATCATGGCTGTTCTAAATTGGTCGACATTAGCAGTAACATCGCGTTGGCAGCTGCAGTAGTACTGGCAATAGTGGCACAAGCAGTAATAATCTTTTAGGGTAGCATTATCGTCATGATATAGCTTTTAAACATAGTGTCTAAATGTTATCTGTTTTACTAAATATCCAAGCTGAAAAAAGTTTGCTAAAATTTTAATCAAAACGATGCCTTCTCCCTATTAGCTTGGAGTCTTAGCTAGATGCTATCATAGATAATGTGGGCCGATGAAAACCAAAAAGAAAAGAGCTGAAAGTGCCAGCATTGACGGTTACAAAGAAAAAGCCAAATAAGCGGAGAAAAGAGCGGGTATCTACTTCACCGCCGGGGACGCAATCCGCTTGTATACATCAGAAGCGCATCTGAAGTACGCTTAATGAAAACTGTTCAAGAGTTACGAATACACTCACTAAGACTCGATCAGCTCCTTTGATGTATTGCAATTGTGGTCTGTAACAGATACTGCGAAGAAGAGCCAAAGTATCACAGCCATTACAGCATCACCTGTTTTGTGATTTATCCACTTGCATCTCGGTGACCATTTTTACCCAGTCTCGATTAAACCCAGGGGAAAAAACGTATCGTCATGAAGCCAAGAGATTTTTCAATGTAATTAATAGCGAAATGCTGTTTCGAAAAGAAATGATTACATAATAGACATGGTCGAAAGAGCAAGGTAAAAAAAAAGAAAAACCAGAAGCTAGTAGGACTATCGTCGGGCCTATCCGTTCTTTCTCGATTCTGAGTGAATTCTGCTGAGGCGGGAGGACAGAGAGAGAGAGAGAGTGTGTGTGTGTGTGATCCTTTTCAAATGACCCGCTTTTACCGTTTTACTTCTCGGTATTCCAATGCACGTTGGATGTTAGAAAGCACTCATCAAGAGTTCCAGTTAGCGCTTAGCTCACAAATTGTTGCTGCTGTATTAGAGAACGCTGTGTGTCAAAACGTGGTATACGATCGATCTGCTTTTTTAACATGACACCACCAACGCACCTTGTGTGATACCTGCTACACCAGTAACACCTGGCATCAGATAGTACAAGATTGAGCTTATAGTCACAACACAGCGGGAAAGAAAGAATCTTCTTTAGTGTATATAAACATCGCTGTTCTTTGTGTGCTAGTCAGCAAAAAGCGCGCGCGGATTATAACGATTAAAGCGTGAGATTGGACTTGCAGGAGACGTCCGTTGTTTTGTAATGGGGATGTTATGTATGATAGCTTCGTCTTCGATTAGTAAGCTGAGCATTCTATGAGCTTTTTTTTTTTTGGTTTGCGTACGTGCAATGTAAGAAAAGACACGTCATTCAATTGACTTTTATAGACATTTTTTTAACAAAGCACGATGTCAATCCATACAACTTTTTTTGATCTACGGCATTGGAGTTGATTGGGGGTTGGGCGGGGGGGGGTACTGACTGAGAAAGCTGCAGATAAAAAGTGTCGTACGTAAAACATGAGAAGAAGCTTCTCTTTTTCTTCGAAAACCGAACAAAAAAAGTCGCTATTTGGTGAATGATCTTTTCACTGTTATCGGATCAGGAAAAAATAAAGGGGATCCGCTGCGCAAACAGGTTTCGTTCGATGGAAATGTTAGGCGGGGCACTCTGGTCGAGAATGATTTCTATTGATTTAAGGTTACAGTAATGAGATCATCATGAGGACTGTAACGTTTGCTACTACTGCAGGAGGAAAAAACGTGGTATATTTGGTTTATATTTTCCCGGTCCGGCCAACTACTGTTGGTTGTCGCTAATGCAAACAGACGGAGAGGTGGGGGAAGGAACGGAGGAAGGCTACGTTGCTCTAACCGATCCCCTTTACCCTCCAACATAGCGTCATTGAGAGCGAGAGGTCCCCCCGGCCTTTTACTCTAGCGTCTTTTTCGATCACTACTTGCAGTGAATATGTTACAGCGAAATCTGTTCATCTACGGTTGTTTCAGGTAATGTGGAGCTTCTAGATTATATGCACTTATTAGTATGGTTTCAAATGACGTTTGTGTCAGCCGCCATGGCCTTTTCCCCAATTTAACGATACAATTACCTCTCATCTGCCTTCATTACTAATCCAAAAGACAACATACACTATGCAGTACTGACGGTCTGATCTGCTGCCTGCTATTATACTCCCCTGATGTCCTTTTTGGAAACTTACCCGCTCTTAGTAATCATTCATTCACAAAGCACAACGGTCATCACACCCTCATTTTGTGTATATCCGATGACGCATAAATTGTCCCTTTATCCAACCTCATCATCATCATCATCATCATCATCATTGAATAGCGAAACATTTATATCACGGAATTCATATTACAAAAGTGATCTGCTTGTCCAAGGAAATCCTCATTTTTCTTCCGCCATTGATATGCATTGTTCAAAAAGCTGTTATTAATTACAGACAGCGAGCGAGCGAGAGAATAAGCGTTTCAGGTAAAAAAAAAACGCGAAATGATCAAGTCAATTGATCCAGATCGAAAAACATTCAACGCGAAACTGGGTGGGGGGCGCGCACGGGTGTTGTAAATTTTAACCCGAAAATTTGCAAGGCGGTAGTTGAATCCTTACCATCGGTGAAACTTAGGACCGAAAAATCTGACTTGTCGGCGCAAATGCCGATCAAGCAAAGGGGAGGGAAGAGGAGACAGAAACCACAGAAAAGAGCAACCGCTGCTAACACACACACACACACAGAGAGAGAGAAGGGAAAGTAATAATAGGACAATCGAGGAGAGATAAATATGGCCAAGTGGAGCCTGAAGTTGCAGGAGAGACTGGCAGACAGAGAGAGAGAGAGAGAGAGAGAGAGACAGGGCAAATACGCCGGTCGGCACAGGCGGCGGTCAACGGTTATTTTTGTTGCGGATCAAAGTTCCCCTTTTCTTCCGTAGTATTCTTTTAACTTAATAATGCTGTCAACTCTGCTTGTCGGTGCATGGTGCCGGACCCCCCGAATTATTATATGCATTGGGCTGGAATCTCATACTTATTTCGATAACCGCAAAGCAGTAGAGGATCCTCCGATCAGACCACAAAAAATAAATGATTACGTAGCCAACCTAGTAGTTAGTAGCGTGGCAGTATGTAGCTAGCCAAGGGAAAAAGAATACAACTACATACTGCTACTATAAGATACTCGATAATACTATGCTCCCGGACTATTGAATCTAGCACCTTTGCATGGGTTTAAAAAAGGTGTGGTTTGTCGTGGCGGAAGCGGCACAAGCAAAAGTATACAATTCTATCTGTTTGTGTCTTTATTTTTCTCATGCACGATGCTATAGTAGCAAACAAGTGAAACGTTTTCTTTGAGTTCCAGTGGTACAGAAAGATAACCTTACATCACCCAGACTGGTGTACTTCCTGCGGGTCCATGTGCTATATACCGTTCAGAAAACGTGGATCAGATAAAAATAACATGGCTGGATCAAACGATTCCACGTCGACTGATAGAAAAATAAGAAAACCTCACGCGACCCTGTCCACACACACAGGCTTAGCAAATTCTGTTTTTCTTTCTCTGTAAAGTCTAAATAAAGTATCTCCTATGCCAAGCCTTTTCAAAAGTGATGAGAGTGTATGTATCATGGGAGGGGAATTCCTTATTACTTCGGATGAACTTTAGGGGAAAATGATGGTATTCTATTTCTTTGGTTAGCTGGATCAATGTTCAACCCTTACGTGGTATTCCACCATGAAGCCGGTGACATGGAAGATGATTTTAGCGATTTGCATGCACATCAAGAACCCAAATCGATTTTACCCGTTTGTCGTTGCTTTACATGTACGTAATATATTAAAGGGGGTGTTATCTTCTTTTGCATGAGTCCCCAGATAGAATGACATATGTGCTTCAAGCATACATCTCTTTGAGTGCATCTAATCTTTTTGAGTAACCCGCTGCCTTTCTATTTTTTTCTTGATCTGACCCTGGATATAGGGTTGACATGTGTGTTATCATAGCTGTTGGTGGTATCTAGCTTAAAATTTTACTATTCCGGGAAAATATTTATGTTCATCGATCATAGTTGAAATGATGGAAATTTCATTCTCATTTCTTTCTAACTGGGGGTTTCTTCTAAGGTTTAAACCGTGCTTTGATATATACAAGTCAAGATCGTCGCCTTTTTTCTTCAAGCAATCTAGGGACTTGTTGGGTATACTGAGGTAGTAGTGCCAGATTACCCAGCAACGTGGCAATTGTTTGTTGTTGTTGTGCGATGTGCGTAGCATGGCTAAACTGCCGGTCCATTGATAACCGGTACGGAAATTATGTCTTCCGGCCAATCACAAATCAAGGAATGTCCGGGCGCCGACAACGTGACAGAAATAAGGGTGCTTCTTTGATCTGGATAATACAGGGTTTTCTGGTTATTTGGAGGGAAATAGCATGAAAGAAACTGATTAACTACACTTTACGTAGTAGCCGCACCCAGAAGAGGGAGGAAAGAGAGTGAAAAAGAGGGAGGGGGGGTATACAGGGTGCAGTATGTACTGGTAAAGAGAGCTTATATAAATATCCTGAAAAGCGGTAATCAAGTGCAAGTTGGGTGGTGGACATGTGCTTCGCATAGAATGATGCTATTAGGACGAGTTAGGCAGAGCAGTTAGTGGCCAGTAAAAAGAGCAAAGAGGACCAACAGCAGCGCAGGTAAAGTAAATGATTTGCCGTGCGCTGTTCTGGATTTATCCGACTTTTGGGGGTGCTGTTCAAATCGAGACTGTCGTGTTCCTCATTCTTTTGCTCATTGCCTGGCCTTTGTTGCTTATTCGATCCAACGGGGTGCTTTGTAACGGATGGTGTGTGATCGAAGAGCCATGGAAGCATTGAGAAGAACGTAGCGATGATATAATCGAATCACACACACCAAAAAAAAAAAAAGAAGCGAAATGTGGTTTGCAGTGCCGGGCCATGCTCCGATTGTCGAAGGCTGAGAAAGGGCGACAAGGGAGATGTTTAGCCGTAAGTGTAACCCGGCAAGTCAGACGCCCCGATATACCGCCTTTTCCGTGTTGAAAGCGCTCTCACTTTCGATCTTTCTGTCTCCCCCCCCCCCTTCTCTCTTACTAACCCAGCCTACACACACACAACCACCCACACACACATGAAATAATCTTGATCTGCTAAAAAAAAAAAAAAAAATCAGGCGCTACCAACAATATATAAAAGGGTGGCGTGTGTCGGATTCCTTATTTAACTTTTCTCCCCTTCCAACATTTGATGCTTTACTGTGAGTATTCTTTCTCTTCTTCTTCTTCTTCTTCTTCATCAGCGTCATCAGAACCCACCTCTCCCACTTGGCAATTGCGCTGATTCACTTTACTTATAAAAACTCTAAGAAACGTGTGTGAAGATGAGTGGGAAGAAGTGATGTGAATGGCTGAGTGTCCCTGCGCCTTGCATATTGTATTTTTTGATCATCATTTGATTGACATCTTTGATTTTTTTTTTGTTATATTTAAGAGACCCACATAAAGATTTTGTGATTTGCCTTTTTTTCCCCTTCCAACAACAACACCCATCATTCATCAATCAGCTTCGACAAGAAAGAAAATGAATTTCGCTTCAACGCTCAACGCTACTACAGCAACACCTCCGTACGAACAACAACAGCAGCAGCACCATCATCATCCTCATCATCCTCATCAACATCAAGCACGCACTCAGCATGATTACAAATCAACACATCCAAGCGCCTTTCATCCCGTCTCAATGCCTTCACCGCCCGAGCTCTTGCACGACAGCGATGAGGACGAAGAAGACTCCATGGGATCGGCCACGCCTTCCTTGGCACACTTGGCGGATCTGCCACTACCCATGCCAAGAAAGAGCATTCCCCATCGCTCCCCGCCAGCTGTCAAGGATGCCATCCAAGCAAGTGCGCTCGATAAGAGTGTAGTGTTCCAACTCGATGTCAGATCACATCCGTTCTTTCCTGCAGCGCCTCAACAACAACAACAACAAGTAGTGCAGCAGTCGCATGATCACACGCCGGCAAAATGCCCCGAATGCAATCTCACAAATTGCTGTGGCATGGCATGCACTTCACGAGTCATATGCGGTGAATCTTTATTGACGGCTTTGCGCAAGCGCGTGGTCCAGGCACGTTCGTCAAATCAACACAACCATCATCATCATCTGCACCGACGTCGTCGGATGCCAATGCAACGTTCTCGAACAACCATAAGAAAGACAACGCACATCAACATACCCAAGCCAGCCGGATCACGGTTACTTTATCGTAGTGCTGCAGATCAAGATGAAGATGATATGAGCTATAATGACGATGACGGAGAAGAATTCGATGAAGAAGAAGATCATGATGATCAGCATCACCCAATACAAGAACCAGAACAAGTACCATTACAACACACTGTTCAACAAGAGCAATCTGTTCGACAGATTCGACATCATCGACCTTGGATCGAAGACGAAGAAGAAGAAGAACGCCAAGTAGTACATCATCATCAGCAACAACAAGAAGACAGCAGTAAATCTATGCCTTCTCAACAACCACCTCGTAAGCGATCAAGACATGAAACGCCGTCATCGTCAACAACAGCTGCGGCTGCACAGCATCAAAAACAACAACAACAGCAGCAACAGCAGCAGCACCCGACGCAACAAACACATCACCACGCATCCTCAGGTCGTCCATCACGCGTCAAGGGCCCCTGCCAGGCCTGCCAGGAGTCTTCTGACGGGTGTATGCGCAAGGCATTCAATTGGCCCTTCCCAACCAGTTCGATTTACAATGACAAGGGTAAAAAGTTTGTTTACCTCTGCAACAAGTGTGGTCTAAGGTAACAACATTGTCCCCAAGACAGAAAGAGAAACAACAACAACAACAACAAATAAGCAGGGCGTTTCAAACTAACAACACTCACTCCTTTTTAGATATAACAAGAGTGGTGGATGTGTCTGTCGCCATTGTCGATGGGTGTTCTGCAAAGAGGAGAAACGCAAGGCGATGCAGCATATCGAGCAGATGATCCGTTCACGTCCTGACGGCAAGGTCGATCCAGACGAAGACATTGAGAACTTTGTATGCACACCCAAATACTGGACCTGCGGTCGACCGTGGAAGGTAGGTTGGGTCTTGCAAAACATCGGCTCGACGATGCCTGCAGACGAAGACGATGACGATATGCACACTGCATCATCACCGTCCCTATCTTCCTCGCCCTCGATGGACTAAGCCCTCGATCTGTCTCTCTCTCTCTCTCTCTCTTTCTCTTCTCTGGGTCCTCTCCTTTCCTCTACGCTACACATCAACAACACGACTCATACACATACGCAACATCATCATTTTATTATTCTACTCATCATCTCTCTCCCCTTTTTGCATTTATGCCAAACTCTTGCTGCTTGTATTTCCACCTTCTTATGGTTTCCTTTCTACTGTTCTCCCTGCTTTTTTTCTCTCTCTCTTCTTTGTGTGTCCATATATGAAACAATCTCACCCCGTCTCGATTTCTTTCTTTTACTCTATATAAAAAAAGAAAAACAATGTACATAATTCTTATTAAACGAAAAAAACAAAATAACGCTGCCTTGTTGTTGTTGTTGGATGATATCTTCTCGCATCCGGGGGAGACTTGATCCCACGTACTGTTCTACCAGTCTGTCGGATAAAAAAAAACCAATGAGCACGAACCATGTGCCTTCTTTGATTTGTCACAATCAAGTTCGTTCGTCTTGAGAGAGTTCCCTCTTTTGTGTGGCTCTTCTAAATCATGAATCGTCTTCAAGTAAAAATTCCGGCCCGGCTCGGCCCGCGCCCTTTATTTCTTTATTCGCTGGTTACTGCCTCCCCCCACAAAATCACTGTGCTACCAATTATCACTTGCCAAGAAATCAAAATTCTCCCCGTCTTCTTTACTTGGCTTTCTCAGATCAGAAAGAAAAACGTAATACACACGCACACACCACTACAGCACTGCAACAACAGCTATTATTATAGTCGGCTCTCATGCATCGATATCTATTTTTCTGTTGCTACTGTTGTTGTTATGGTAGCACTGCTTCTCGTTTGTTCTCATGACGTTTTCCGAACAAACCTCGCTTTCGGCGTCAACCACCGATCATCATTCCATACCGGCTACGACTGTTATCCCCAAAACACAACACTTGCTTGTTGTTACCATAGAGAACAAACACATCCTTGTTTCTAATAAAGACAAAAAGAATGTCGAGAAACTTGATTTGTTGTTTAGGAGAAACGGTAACGTGCTTAGCAATTCCTTGACCATGTTAACCTCGTATGATCCGCCCGGCGCCCTGACCGTGATTCACTTTTGGATTATATTTTGGCGTGACACCGCAATATGTTTGCTCAACGTTAGTATTACTGTTGTTGTTGGTTGTAGTTCTTATTGATTTCGGGGCTATCGCCGCCGCTATTTACCGCCGGAGGCCGTGACAGTAATAAATGCGTCTTTCTTTAGATCAAACACCTCTCTCAGCTTGATACTTGATTGCCTTTACTCACAACATACCTATGATTTGACACTTTTGCATATTGCTCCCAACCTGTTTATCTGGCGCACAAAGGTACTTATTTTAGATCATGATTCAAACATGAGAGACCGAGAGGGGCCCGGGGGGGGGGAATGAGCCGCTTTTTTTTTTAGCTCCACATGATTGATATATATTAATATGTCACCGATAAGCCAGCTTTTTGTCGAAATATGCACAGCCGGGTAGTAGGCATGCACGTCGCCCCGAGAACACAGCCCTTGACAGGACGGTATTTTGGTTTAGCGTGCACAGATGGCATGGTTACATAAAGCTCGTTCTCGCCAAGGCATACTGAACGACTGAAAAATTGCGGGGAACTATAAATAACAAAATGCATGATTAAATTGGTATGTTATTAGTAGCACACTATATATGTCTATGCTTTCTTGATACAAGTCTTCTATTGCTGATTCCCAAGGAATTGTATTTCGCTCACTACAAGACACAAACGCACAAGTGCTTCACGCTCATTGTAAATCGTTTTCTCCTCAGCCAATATGTGATGTATAGTCTATCAACAGTACTATTATCACGTAAGAAATCATAATAATGTTTCACCTTCCGGATCAAAAGATAAAAAAAACCATCCATATTAACTTACAAGCGACTGTGAACAACCTTACATGTAAAAGGATACGCTTGGAAAGTTAATCTCCGCGCATGCATACCGTATCCATTGTCTTTGTATTCATTTGTTGCTAACAAAATTTTGACGTCTTGCATTTCACCAGTGTGGATCCACTGTGATGATGAGTTAATGTAAGTTTACGGACACGATATGCTGCTCAACGACGGGTCAAAGCTCTTTCCGACAAAGGACGTTTCTGTCGTCGTTGCTGTTGTTGATTTTGTTCCTGAAGGTACTGCTGTTGCTGCTGTCATTGTACTCAATAAGTAAAGATGGTATGAAAATCGAGATAAGAACTAATACTGGTACTACCAGAACAAGTAGAAAAGTCGTACGAAATGTCCGTTTTTGTGATACTCGGGGGATCTTTCATCGAGAGGCAATTAATACGGCTCTTGTCCTTCCAATGCCAAATTATAATTATTGGTGCATCCCCTTTTGTCCCCATTCAGCAAAGAGCCAATTTGATGCTCATGGTGAGAATGAGCTCATACAATTACTCTATCATTTTTCCACGCACCGCCATTACAACACAGAGCACGTCGTACGTGTAGTAAAATAGAACATCATCATTTACAAAATTCATAAAGTTGAATTTATTCACATAAAATTATGGAGAAGACTAAATTTTACAACAACAAATTTAAACCTGCGTGGTGTGGGGGGGGGGGGAAGAAGGATGCGCGAGGATGTGTGAGAGTGTATATTTATATGTAAGAAAGATGGTGGGGTGTGTTGGGGATGAGAAGAAGGGAAAAAAAAGACGTGATTAAGCCTTGTTGATCTTGACAGTGACAAGACCCTGGAGACCGCTGACAACAACGTACTTTCTGCCAGGAGCGTCAGCATCCACGATTTCGTGGGAAGCAGTGCCATCAAGAGTCACCTTGACACCGTTAGGGAACATTTGACCCGAGATGAGCCACTTGACCTGGTTATCACCTTCCTTGCCTTCGACCTGAGCGACGAATTCGCGCTTGGCATGGTCAAAGGACTCTTTCTTGTAAGTGACGTTGTCGGCAGTCAAGGTAGCTGGAGGGAATCCATAGCTCGAGACATAGTTGGCGACCTTACCAGCACACAAGGGAACCTGCAATTGAATGCTTTTCAAGAAAGACGAGGGAATGGAACCAGCCATGTCGACCTAGTAGGAATTACCAAGCAACAAAACAGTCGTCAGCAGTTGATTATAGGTGGAACAATGTCTATTTTTCATGTGAAGTTTAATTACCTGAGTGATGTAAGTGATACCAATGCCGCCATCGGTCTTGAAAACCTTCCAGCCCTATAAGATTACAAAGTTAGCTGGTATTCTTACACAGGTACTACATACTATTAAATAGTACATTGAGAAGCACATGAGCTAAATCTAATTACCGAAATGATAAGGTTACCCCGGACACAGCCAGAGACTGGAGGAACGGCAGGGTCCTCAACCGAGGACATGGATACGTAGCATTCGTCGTCATCGAAATCACGCAAAGCAACACCAGTAAAATCGCGAGGGCTAAAAGGAAGAAAGGTTCGGTTACCTTAGTTACGAATTAACCAGCCTTCCCTAGTAACAACACCATTTACTTACCTGACGGGCCAGGGTGCCTTAAGCTTTACCCAGAAGATAGATTCCAAATGGGTAAACATTTCCTTGACTTCACTCGAATCGAACTTTTCGTCCCCTAAGAGAGAGAGAGAATTGACAGATGTGCCATACGTTACAAAAGTTAGGGAGACATGTTTTTTGACGACACTTCAATAAACATCCATTGGGGTAAAGTGGAAATAGAAACAAAAGCAAAACAAACAAAACGAACAAATAACTGCTTACAGATTTTACGGCAACCAGGCTGTGTGGCAACAGTAGCCACTTCGCGAGGAGTGTACTTGTCGCCGGTCTTGAGGACAGTGTCGCCACGCACAATGCTAATGGGACCACCCGTGCTCTTGGTGTAAAGCTTGACACCTTCCTTTTCTTGCGAGAAGTTCCAGCCATCCAAATTGGCAGCCAATTCCTTAAAGGAGGCAAGGGCCTTGCGGGAAGCTTCAGCATGACGGTTGGATGATTCAATGACGACCATGTTTGTTTGTTGAGAAGAAGGAGAAGAGTGTGGGGACAACATTGACACAGGCTCAAAGGCACCTGACTTATATAGAGAGTTCAAATGTTTAAAAAATACGTGTGTAACCACAGCTGTCTTGTGAAACACCCATGTGAAAGACCTTATTTCATCTACCGCTTATTCACCATCATATGACGCAGATACCACCTTCCTTGAAAACCACTTTGCTCAGCTCTCGAAAAATTGTCTCGAGTGATATGAGCGAGTCACTGAGTGGTACTGGCCTACCGGATTGTTATATCGTTGTAATTTATTCTGCATTTACAGCATATCTCCATTTCTTGCACTGTAAGTCTCATCCGACACTTCAAAATTACATTCTATGTCACTTGTATGCGTCTGGTTCTTCAACGTATGTACTTACATGAATTTTCCTTGACGACCTATGCCATGCACTTGAACACGTTGTGTCGCCATGGAAACTGCACATTAGTTAATTTTCTTTTATCGCTATAGAAGACATAGCGAAACGACCCTTTCACCACCGGCTTTCAGCTCCAGCCCACCTGGTGTCGAATGGCCAGATGAGAAGCGTCAAAAAGATTTAATTTATTTTGTCGCTTTAAAGTGATCTGCGGAAATAAAGGTTCACATGTATATGGCTTTATATACCCTGCATGCTACGTTTAAGAACAAAACGACTCTATCTACGTTCTGATAGTGTCATACATAGGATAGGGAAAAACGGCAAAAATGTGTATTGTCCAAAAAGCATCTACATCAATGCAAGTTCGCCCATTATTAATTCCATCAATTCGTCTATATGGTCTTGATCTCTTTTCTACTTTCTGCTGATGGCTATTATACATTCTTTTGAGATTCGCTAAAACCGAATCCGATCCAGCAGTATCATCCTTCTTGTCGCGTGGGGCTGCTGCAATACCAGGATTGTAAGAGCCTTGAGATGATGTCGATGGTTCTTGTTGTGCTTCATCCATTGTATCTTTTTTGGATGTCTGTTTGAAAATATCATGCAACCAAAATGATCCTTTCTTTGTATCGATCAAAGATTTTTCGTTCAAGCTAGAATAAAGCTCCAACTGGGTGGTCGGTGCTGCGAAATGACTGGCTTTATGCTTTTGTGCCTTGTGTTTTTTGACGCTAGACCTGCGCTTCCTGCCATCAATGTTGTCCCGTCGGTTATAGTATATGTGCTGGCGTCTTGGCTTTGGCTCATCTATCGGTTCAAAGATATATTATTAAGAAGAAACATATTAACATGAATGATCATTGAAAACGAAAATTACTGGCTCAGTTGTCTCCATCATCTGATAGCATTCCAGACCCTTGCAAAAACTAGACTTACCACCCGTGCTCTGCCTTTTTTTTGGAAGCACAAAAAATCGTGATATTTACTGCAACAACGCGTCCGTCGGAAACTCCATAACTCAAAGAATTAGTATCATGCGTTCATTGTTACAACCGGCGATAAATGATAGTTAAAGCACTGCCACGCCGTGATATGGTATTCATCACGCCGCATGAGTGATGTTTGTCACGGGTGTCCCCAGTTGATAAATGCCACACACGCAGAGTAAGTGGGATAACTGTTTTATCGTACGCGTTGTCACTATGAATCCTCACGCATCTTACAGTCTTTCTACTATATCAGTAACCAAACAACAGTTGTTTCTGATGTTGTTGCTGCATTATCAAACCAAAATATGAATGCTACATACTGTTGATTTATATGTATTTAATTGAAGAAAAGCTATTGCAACTCTTGCTTCTTGCCCAACCTAGGCTGATAATTAATTTATTGCCACTCATTTTACTTAAGAAAACTCCTCTTCGCGTACGATAAATCAGTTCGACACTTGCTGTGTACATAGTCAGGCTCGGTCGGTTCACGATTCCGAAACATGTATGCTATGACTGTTATCTAGCAGCCGATGTATGGTCGCGAGAAGAAACGGCAAGGTGCAATATATCAAATCAATTTACACCACATGGCTGATCTACGAGGCACACCCACGGACTGATAAATTCTTGTCATAGCATGTATTAATGAAGTCACAAGCGTTGCATAATCTCGTTCATACTTTTACGCACAACGCTCTCATCATTTGTCTCTTTCTTTTTCTTACGCAAACATCATCATTATGGGACTTCTGGTACGGTGACGTTAATAACTCAACTCTTAGCAAACGTTTGTGTATCTAACACATCGTAATATGAATCATACTTAGGGCTTCCATCCGCTCGCTAAGCGGCTTGATTGTTTCCAAACAGTCGATGATGCTTTTAATCTCCTTATCGAAAAGGGGATAACGCGAGTTTTTATCGACTTTGCATGCGTCTTTTTTCGAAGACTTGCGACAACATGCGCCCGATATTTTGCACATTTTGCACTTAAAAAGTATGTTTTTACGGGTGTTATACAATGTATATTGTAGTTTTCTTACCACTTCAAATCACTGTAGACCATCCCACAGAAGAAGAAACAAATGACATGTTTATTCGTATTACTCTTGGCATCATTGAAAAGGCGAGTAAATTGGCAAACAATCAAATCCAAGTAGTATTTGTCATGGACGGCGACACCTTTCCACTGTAAGCGAGAACGCATGCCCAGCGCGATGAATATAGCAAGAGCCTTTTCGAAAAGCGAAGGAAGCATTTATCCGTCCTTCTGAGGGTGTCTACAGCAGCAAGTACAGGAGAGCTGCGAGAGAATGGGTTCGCTTTTCTGCCGATATTAAACAAGGAATCATATGTGTAAGTATCAAGTATTAACCAGAGTAAAAATCATAGATTTAAGTAGCTTACCTTTTTTTAATTTATCAAACAGGTTCTCCAGATGGCTGGTGCAGAAGAGTATAGTCGAAACAGCACACGATTGTTTATATACCATCAAGCAATGTATGAAGCCAACGGCGCAGTTGTCGCACTTGCCAATGCCTTTTCCCGCAAATCAAGTTGCGATATTCTCACCTGACAGTGATCTCTTTGCTTATAGCGGTTGCCTTGATACATTGCACATCATGAAGATTGACTGGGGAACACTCAGGGTAGAAAAAATGGCAACTAAGACGCATGTACTAGGGATCCGTATCAGAACCGTAGAACCGGAACCGAACCGAACCGTAGAACCGGAACCGAACCGAACCGAAACCGAGAAAATACGGTTCGGTTCCTATCAAGAACCGAACTGGAACCGAACCGGTTCTGTATACTTAGAACCGAAGAACCGAGAGGCAGAAGATTGCAATCAGCGATTTTGGTAATTAGTATAAAGTAGGCTATAATGGAAGTTACGAACAATGTTATTCCGAAAAGACCACGAAGTAATGTATTTGCAAGCCATACTTTATTGAAAAACTTAACAAAACCTGCAAAAGCAGAAGGGAGGGAAAAATAGTAAAGAAGAGAAGGGAAAAAACACTTCTTCTGATGGCAGCTTGCTTTCTACGCCCATGACGCACATCATTACTTGTTCCTCTACTTTGCTACCCACAATGCATTTTCCTCCATGACGTACTACTTTACTAGATTTATCATGGCTTCTCGATCAGTTTTATCAAGTTTGTGCATTCCGTTTGAGATTGCGCATTCTGGGGCTCATAACAGAACTATCTTACCCATTCACCCTTTGCCTTTTATGAGACACTATACACTATACACATGTAGAGACACAGCAGCTGTATGTACTGCCGGTTGTGGTTCAATTCCTCCAATGTTACGATAACATATTGTACTAGTAATACTAAGTCGCTCTAAGTAAGTACTATAAGCTCCACTTTTTTCGTAAAAACTGTGCTTTAATCTTTTAACCATGCAATGACCCACATCGTATAAGAATGTTTACATTCTGTTTCTCTTATTTATTTTGAGATCGCTGTTCAATGTACAATAATAAACTATTCTTTTTTACTGCAGTATTCAAGTATACCGCGACATTTGAACACACACATCAGCTTTTATGTAAAGATACCGAATCTTGCCTTTTTTATATACATAATGGGTTTGGTTCTTCGGTTCTATGGTTCTCGTCGGTTCTAGTCAGTTCGGTTCTTGCTTTAGACGGCTCAGTTCGGTTCCCTTCAAGAACCGAACTGAACCGAACTATGTGGATCCGTAGCATGTACTACAAAACCTACAACTCTGTAATGAAGATGAAGATAATATGGATATATTGGAGCGCCATCTTGATGTGTTGGCTGCCTTAGGAGGCAATGATTACTTCATGCATCTGAGTGGTATATGCTTTGGTGTTATGCATTCTACTTTGATCAGAATTATCGATGACAAAGGACCAAATTCTCTCAGAACGAGGCCAGATAAGATGTTTGAGAATCTGCTTGATCTGTTTACTGTACCTTTCTTCATTAGACAAGAAATGTGTCTTGCCCTAAAAAACCTACCAATAAGGTTGAATTATACTTTACTATACATATTTTAAAATCCAAAAAAATAAATTAAAAAAAGTTTATTTAAGTTTATTTATTATATACTCAAATTTTAAAAATTGAAATATAAATTAAATAATAAAGATGTCAAATAGAGAGTATATAAAGAACTCACCTGTTGAAAGAAAAAAAAAGAAAATATTCAAAAATAAACATAAAATAGATATAAATGAAAATATTAATGAAAATAATAATAAAAATAAAATATGAAAGTATTGATGAAAATCATAAAATCAATAATAAAGATATGATAGATTATAAAGAAGAATATTTTAAAGTAAAAGCATAAAATTTAAAAGAATATTTATAAAATATTTATTTACGAAAATAAAAAAATTTAAATATATGAATAAACAAGATCATCTTTTAATAAAATATAGAAAATTAGAAAATAAAATAATAAAAATAAAAATAAAAAACAAGAAGTAAAGATGATTTGATAGAAACATTTGATGAAAATCTTAAAAATATAAAGATAAAATCTTCTTTTTATTCTTATCCTTTTAAAAGGTTTTTACATAAAATATTGAATATTGATGAACTTGATAATATAACAAAATTGTTATCTTCAAATAATAATTAAAAAAACATATGATTTTTAAACTTAGGTTATTTGCACCCTATATGTATCATAAACTATAATTTAACCACCAATTCTGCTCCCAGAACAACATACAGGACCAAAACCAAATCAGTTGGAATTTGAAGAACGTATAGGAGAATAAACAATATATATAAATTTTACAGTAAACTGTAAATTTATAATATTTTATTATTTGTCTAAATCTCATTATCTAGCCCCACACGTTTCGAAAGCAAGTTTCTCAACCACCCCTATTTTATATTTATGAAATCTTTATGTTCATAAAGATTACAAAAATATTTGATGATTACAAATTACAATAAGGGTTGAGAATCTTATAGTGTTTGAGAAATTAATTTTTTTTTAAAAATTAATTTCATCACTTATTATAATTACTTTAAAGTTATATTACCTATAGTTTTTTATATATTTATAATTTCACTAAAAGCATAATACTAAGAGTTACCCTCCATACCAGAAAATAGTGCTCTTTTTGTCCCCTACAGCCAGCAGCACCTCCTCGTAACCCCTATGTACCCTAGGGACAACCTCCATTTCTTAGCAGTCTTTATACCTTCATTCCAAACATGCGTTGCATGATATCAGATCAAACTAACCTGAAAAAACTGATAACCTTCCCAAACGCCCCAAAAAAATGAAGCCTAAATTAAGAAGAATCATAATGCGAAGAACGGGCAGCAGCTAGGGCAAGGCGTTCGAGGTAGTGGACAATTTAGCAGCATCAGTGACAAACCTGTAAACACATGAAGAGCAAACTGCATATCAGAAAAGCCACACAGTCACCACTTGGTCGATGGGTCTGTATTCATCACTGTTATCGGGGGTTAATCCTTAAGCGTAATTCTTTAAAAGGTTTTATTAATTAAAGAAATATCATTATTTAAACATGTTTAGAAAAAATAAAAAATTCGATTATAATTTTTTTATTTTTGAAACTTTTAACTTTTTTTTTTTAATCTTTAAAAGGTTTAGGTTTTGTATAAACCTTTTTAAACCTTTAAAAGTGTTATATCTTTTTATAATTAATTTAAAACAGGCTAGGAGGTACGACGATGCCCAGTATACTTAAAAATCAACGAAGTTAGATTTTTATTTGAATGCTTGACAGTATAAAGAATAATAAATAAATTTGTAATTTACTACATAATTCATTATTATGATTTAATACTCATCTGCTGCCATTCGTCGCAAGCAAGGAGAGCCAAGAGAACCAGTCCAGTTGCAACGTCAAGCAGAAATGGAAGCAAGGCTCATGGGTGCCCAAGATGTGCGGAACCAAGTGCGGTCCTGGCTAGTGCAGCAGCGAAAGAACCTTTGCAAGAATCCTGTTGACACTGCAAAAAGAAATATGTATTACCTGGGGAGTTTTGGGGTAAAATGAGGGGAATATGAGTTGATATTACCCATATATTACCCTGATATTCCTGAGGTAGTATGTCTAGATATTCCCCTGATATTAACGAATATTCCCCCAGGAACACGCTTCCATAATCCCGCGTATTCCCCTTAGGTAATACCAAGGTAGTATCTGCACATATTCCCCTCATATTTCCCACATATTACCATGTATTCCCCCAATACTCCGTTGACATTGTCCAACGTTATTCTTGATTTTATCTTCAGACTTGGTTTGTTCTCACGAATCATAGACGCTTTTGAAAGTACTCCATCCAATCTACTACATTTATACAATATCAATTCCATGTAGATGTTATAAAGAAAAATTTGTATTGGTTCAACTTTTTGAGTTATGTACTGTATCCTATCATCTATAAACAAAACCCTCCAAGCTTCCACTAGTATACCACCACAGTACAACATAACATGAGTCCTTCTATATGTTTGCCATCCAGCCTTTGTCTACATGATGTCATATTGAAAGGTCTACATGCGTTGAAAACACCTACAGAGAAACCTGTGCCTGACTTTGAGGAATACTATGTAAAGATAAGTTTTTAAGTCAGTAAAATATTCGAGAGTCCCAATCTTACACAGCATGGCCTTTTGAACAAAAAACAAACACTGTAGATATGCAGGATACTTACCATTTAGTGATGAGAAAACGTTAGATTTAGACGCAGACATGTTGAATAGAACGTATGAATAAGCAGACACTTACTGTATAAGAAATGCACTGAATGTCACGAAACGGAAAGATCTAAAAAACATGGAATAAAAAAAATGTAGTCATAAGAAAAAGTGAGTGTTAAAAAACAACAAAGTACCAATCATCGTTATTTATGACCATGATATAACTTACATAGTGAGCACTAGCTAGCTGGTTGTAGTAAGCAGAGGTGTTTTTCTCTACTATTTTACTTACAAGTTCAAAGCAACCTCCTTCCGGTTTTAGCAGCGCGGCCTATATATTTGTTGACAGAATGGATGGCTTTAATGTCTGGAAGTGTTGAAACATGAGACATCACCGGATTACCTTGATTACCTCGAATACTGGTTTATTGATCTTCCTCCTACTATTAAAAACAGGATTGACAACGACTTGGTAACCAAGCAAGCAAATATAGTACTGCTACTACTGAACTTGTAGATCCACCCCTTAATTGAGAAATGTGTAGCCTGAATGATTTGGAATGGGAAAGATCTCGGTGGTGTCACTGTTAGATTGTTTAAAGAAAAAAGCAAGAAAAGCATGTAAATAAGTGAAATTGTTCCTTTAAAGCCATACAGATGCTGTCCCGTCATCTCAGCTCAGAGTGTATTAAACTTTGATTGTCAGTTGCATAGTTCCTGTATTGTTACATATGAATAAACATTATATTCAGTTGGTATCGGTATTTTCATCCAGTTCTTTTGACCGCTGTCGCTTCTGTCTGAGACATAGCGCTTTCTTCATTTGACGCTCTTGCTCACGTCGCCTGCAAAAAAAAAAAACCGGCTATTCAGTACAGACAATTCATTGAGGTCACATAAACAGATCCATACTTATAACAGCGCAAGTCTTCTTCAAGCTCTGGGTCATCTTGAAATACTCCTTCCTATAGCATCCTCCAGAGATCCAGAGTCACGACACCCAAAAGCGGCTTAATGATTGTGTCCGTCCTAATAAATGCATAAGTATAACGTAGTATTAAAAATGTGGAGTTACATACAGACGGCGTCTATCCCACCGTAGCCTCAATCGTCTCTTGATGCGTCTCCTTGTTGCCACATGACCCATTACTGCTCCTAACTTGGGGACATTGCTCGACATTGCACAAATGTTTGGGCATGATTCGTTTGTTAATGTTATGATTGCAAACTGAATCTGTTTGAGTTTTACAGTTGGTGGAAATGTCACAAATAAAGAATACACTTTTTCAACAAAAAGTTCAAACACAATTTTTTTATTAGCATCCACATTAGAGTGGTGAAAATGCGGTAATACTAGGTAATATTAGAGGAATATGTGAAAAGGGTAATATCAGGGTAATACCAGGGTAAAACATCAGGATATTACCTAGGGGAATATCCAGGGAATACATGTCGATTGTAACGGCGCTTGGGAAAACGCGGTAATACTGGTAATATTAGAGGAATATGTGAAAAGGGTAATATCAGGGTAATATCAGGGTAAAACGTCAGGATATTACCTAGGGGAATATCCAGGGAATACATGTCAGTTTTTGCAATATGAGCTCAACGACGAGTGAATCGACTTGCTCCTCAAGAGAGCAGCAACAGTACCAGCTACAATAAAAGGGATTATTTATGAAAAAAGGGATGTAAATTTTTCTGTTCTATAAGATGATTATAATCTAACTTATCAAAATAAAAATGAATTTTAAAGTTTTTATATTTTTAAGAAATTATTTATATCTGTTGTATTCAACATGATCAATAACACATATTCTTTAATCGGTCATTAATGATTGCTGTTATTTCCCTCATAACCTCACTTGTGCAGATATTTCTTTATTTATACACATCTTGGTAAAACACCGATCAGCTATGCTCAGGAAGAAGTTGTTACTATTGGGATCACGTAATTCACATTAGCTACTATCTGAGGCATTTACCTGGATGTACCTTTTACTCACGCATCATACATTACTTAATCCTATATGATTGATTTATAACATCAATTCATTTGTTCAATGCACACGCTGTGGTAGTTGCCAAGGATAAGCCATTTCTTATAAATAGTGAGAACTTTTGTTATCATAATAAACCAGTTTAAATTCCTTTCGGGTCTCGTTGACTTATTCTGTCTCTTTTGGTTTATTGGATATTACAATATCTTGGATTTTTTGGATTTTTTAATTAAAAAAAAATTATTTCATATAATAATATATTATAATGATTCAATATTTGATTAATATACAAATAAAATTAAAGATAAATAAATAATTTTGTATAGATTAATAAAAAGAAGAAGAAATGAATTAGGGATAATTGAGAAATTTATTTTTGAAACATAAAGGAGCTAAATATTGAAATAAAAGGTATGCGTTGATGGCATTGATTAAATTCATACAATATATCAAATATGTTAAAAACCTTCTATTTTATATATAATAATAGATTTATAATTAATGATTATTCTTCATACATGAAGATCTCCCAGAGTATATCTACTCTCATATTTGGCACATACCACTAAGAAGCAATGAAAATATGGAGTCTGTAATCAATTTGTCAAAATGTTTCAAGGTTGCCGAATCACTCGCACAAGAAGCCACGGAAGAAAATCGACAAGCTTTGGAGAGGTTTATTACTCAGGAACTCCTGTTTTACCAAGAAGTGATAGGTCGCCTAATTGGAGTTCGGCTAGCTGACCAAGATCAAGATCAAAGTCCTCTAGACATATTTGACTGCTTGGTGATCAAGCATCCTCGTGATGATCGATCTCAAGTCGTTGCTGCTAGTCAACAGGATCAACCTCCTTCGTCGCCACTGCAAGCTGGACCATCACACCCTGCCCCTCCAGTGACGAGCTCTGCGTCGAAAAAGGCTGGTGGTCTCAAGCGTACCATCGAAAAAATCCAGCGTGATATTGCACTTGATAATGCAGTTGAAACTGATGACGACAGCGATGAAGAAGATCCGAGTGGCGGTAGCAATCGTGGTAACAACGGCGACAGCAGCAACGGCGACGACGATGACCCAGTACCCGTTGTGGCTTCAAGTAGCCAAACTCATCATCTTCTTTCGATGCAAATTGCCATGCTCGAGCGTTTACCCGACACTTTATCATGCGCTGCGTGCCCTTCTGCTGCAAGCAAGACAATCCCCGTACAACTTCCATCAACGTCTATTCGTAACATATTTGACCACCTTGAATATTTTGTTGCGCCGATATACATGAATCTGCATGCGCTTTTATGGAAGCAGAAACAAACATTGACAACAGGGCTCGACTGCAAGCTGGTATGTTGGGGTGATTTTGGTGAAATGTGAGCAAAATTATAAAACTTTTTACTGACGAATTTTGACTTTTACAAAATGTTACGTAGCGAGAGACAGTGTGAATGATGCTCGTGCACGATTGCAAGAGGGATATCGCAGATATTTTAATTTACAAGAAGAAGAACGGATACAATATGCAAGAGACCGCCATGGCCAGCAGAATCGTCGGGCTGTCCGTTCCAATGACCCATATTCTTTCCTTGTTGATTTGGCGCATGGTACTACCAAGTTGCAAGACGGTGCTTTAAGGACAAAAACAGCGTGGATACGAAAAGTTTATCAATGAGACCTTCGAGGGTGCCGTAGAACCTGGTACACCGCGGTTTACGTTGCGTATGATCAGAACAGACGACGTGCAACTGTTTGCGAGCATGACCGACTGGTCCAAACCTGGCTCAAGAGGCGGTTCTGGAACTACTACTTTGCGTTACCTGCCAGAAATCAGGAACATGCTTGCACGTGTTGAAGCAAATGGTAGGTAGTCGTAACATAGGAGAAATGCCATATCGACATGAAGTTAATCAGTAAAATAATTTTTAAACGTATTAGCTCCAGAAGGTGAACGAGGAGTAGGAGAATATGACGGTGCCATTGGCCTTGACCTAGGTAAAACGTTTGCCGCAGGTGCATTTTTTTTTGCCCAGCGAGCACCATGTCCATGACACCGGTGTTCAGTATACTGTGAAAAAGAATGAGATATAGGGTCGACAAGGATTGAATGGTAGATGGCTACACGACAGAAAGCTCGCTGCTGGCATGGATGTACTGGAAGCGCGACTTATGGCTGGTAGCAAGAAATCGAACCTTGCTAAGTTCATGCTATACGTGCGTGCATGACAGACTGACAATGTGGGCATCAATCAGCCTCTGGCAGTTCTATTCTCAGTGTTCGGTTCGGCGCAAAGCTTGGGACACCCGCATTTCCATGGATTCCGCATTAAACAAGGCCACGGACACACTTCTGAATATGATCAAAGGTCCACCACCACAGCAATTTCCAAGCGACCATTATGCAAACACGGCCGATGACAAGAGAATCCGTCGAAAACGTAGGAGACGAAAGGAGGTGTGAATGGAACAAGGAACAGTGGGAATCCGAACGGCCCCGTTCTGCTCGGTTTTGGTGCGGACGCACTCACTACTGACGATCATCGAAGAGGCTCACGGCCCGCTTTGGATGCTAAGCTAGCCACAAGGTTACTCATTCGAGCGAAAAGCAAAAAAGGGACGTCGTTTTGTACCCGTCCGCATTGACGAATACGGTACATCAAAGTTCTGCCTGCGCTGTGCCATGTTTGGACGTGTAACTGAGTTACGGTTTACTCCGGCGGCCACCTCCTCTTCGCCATGCCCTCAATATGGACCCACTCAACGATCTTGGGAAGACAAAGTCATCCGCATCAAGGTTTGTCCACAATGCCAGCAAGAAGGCCGTGGTGTGTTTCATCGAGACGGTGCCTCAGGTCACTGTCAGTCAACAATTGCAATGGCAATGCTCGAACACGGCCAACGTCCAGGCCAGTTCATTCGTCCATCGCACCAGATCCCAAACAATTAGACCGTCTTCGTCAGGACGGTCGGGTTTGCACCCGTGGCTTGCTCGTGGTAAGTAATAAAACTATTGTATGCATAAATGTGGCGCGCATTTTCATGGTCCGGGTTGCTAATTATGGAACCTCCAGACATAGTCACACAGCCCCCATCATATGTACGCTTTCATAGGAGCCGCTAAAAATTCGCGATGAGAAATTTCGGGTAAATATGTTACCCGACTGAAAACGCGAACACCCATTATCAAAGCGGGATAAATATTCAACCGGATACATCCACCTATGTATACCTACAAACATCACTTTTTTCATACTATTATATGGTCCTATAGGAATAGAAATTTAGCTGACAAAAAGTATGAGATAACATTAAGATAATGTGTACAGTAAAAGAAAAGTAGTTGCTCTAGAACCATCATTAGATGGTTAACAAACGCGAAAGAGCGTATGGAGTCTGAATTTTTTTGACCCTGGAAAGAAGGGGCTTAGGTGTTTTCTTCCTCTTCCCTGCTCTTTCTCCAACTCTTTTTTTTTATTAATTGCAGAATGAACTCTGGACATCGTAACCAACCGAACTCTACTTTACCAACTGTTACTGAAGCACTTAGTGCTGGTAATTTTGACTACAACAACAACTATCTTTGCAAGAGATGCCGCAGTGAGAAGCCTGGAATGGATTTCAGCGGTAATACTAGACCGTATAGAACCTGTGTGGCCTGCCGAACCAGAGACACTCCACCCGAGATTGTTCCGTTGGATGACATGGTGATGTTGGACTCTTTAAATGATCATTATCCTGCTGCAGATGATACGGTAAGTACATACATGTATTTTGAATTTTTTTCACTAAATTCTTGATCATTTACTACATGGTATGCAGAACGATCTTTTCTATTGTTATGTAATGGTTGAACCGTACATGGAATCGATATCGAATAATCAATTGATCGAGCGAATTTTGGATGAGGTGACCAGTTGCGATGGGCATCGATATATGCTGAAGAACGAGGGGGCCCCTGAGCAAGCATTCAAGGTATCATTCACTGCCTACTGCTCGCGCTCCCAAGTCTATCAGAACACCGTTCTCGCCGCGCAACGCCAGAGGATCACTGTACGAATGCCAACGTTTGATTGCGGCGGACGCGTAAAAGGAACGATCGTTAGGCAGCAAGGCTATGTCGAACTTGCAATCCGGCATCAAGACCATGTGCCTGTTGATAGCAATGATGGCAGTATACGTCGACGAGAGCACAATTTGGTTCCTGACGAAGTAAAGCAGTACATCGCTCGGGAAGCTGCAGAAACAGGTGCCAACGAATTGTACCGGCGCGTTATCCGACGTTTTCCTGAATCCAACGTTACGCCTATGCAGGTGTATTACTGGTGGGCAGAATCGTTCAAGAACCTGTATCGTCTGCATGATGATCAGTTACTGTCAGTGCGACTACTCCTACAACGGTATAATGTACAAGGCTTTTATGAGGTAGGTGATTATATTAATAGATACTGACCTTGACCTAGTCTTTTCTCTGGAAGCTAGCGGTAGGTAGTAATAGATTACAAATAGAAGTAGAATCTGAATTAGTTGAAATAAACGCTAGGTGTTTTGGAGCAGAGATGCATCTGTATGTGCTGCCTTGGGATTTGTCACTCCGTTTTTAGGTTTGTTGGTCAGAAGTGAGCTGATCGAAGAGTACTGCATTGATTCGACCTGGAAGACAAATCGTGCTGGCTCAGAGTTGTACGGCATTATTGCCAATGTGAATGGCGTAGGATTCCCTATCGCCTATCTTCTTTATACGGCATTTGATGATGCCCCACCCAATACCAAAACCAACACTTTGATTTCCTTTTTCCGTGTATTGAGGGAGCGTGGGTTCAATCCGATGTTTATGTTTTCGGACAAGGATCAGGCACAAATGAATGGCATAGAGACAGTGTTTGGTCTGTCGCGATTGCGTCTCTGTCTTTGGCATTTGAAAAGATCTGTTGATCGCAAATTAAGCGAGACAAAAAGCCGCCGCCCGCCACCATATAATAATGTACAAGCAAACACTGATTTTCCTTTCGTCGACGTAACCTGGACGCCATCCATCGGTGGTCGCACAGGTGTTATCTGCCCGGAAGAACAACGGAAAGAAATAATTGACAAAATGACAGATCATTATCATATGCATCCACTGATTCCCGATGGTAAACGCGTTTCATAGAGTTGATTTATGCAACATATCAGCAACAGTCCTTGTCGGTCATATTCTACTGGTATTGATACTAATATTACCTTTTCACGTAGGCACACACCGACGCACAGCCCTTGAAATCCACCAATATGCGGCCAGGGAAATTTATAATTATTGTCACGAGAATGGATATATCGACGCATGGGTCTACCTATACACATTTTGGTACAAACCTACAGCTTGGAACCAGTGGGCACGATCTGCTATTCCTGACCGTATCCCAGGAGGCAAAACCACAATGTTGATTGAAGCCCACTGGAAGGTTTTAAAGCGCAACCACCTATACAGGTTTAACCGTGCTCGTTTGGACTTGCTCGTTTTCGTGATTATTGAAAAACATTTTCCTGATTTGCGAGTGAAGTATAATCGCGACACCGTCCAGTTCCGGCAAGCTACAAGATGGCAACAAGCCTTTGTCAACCACTGGAACAAGGCTTATCGTCTGCCAGAAAACAGCAATGCAAATGCGCTGTATCAGCCAACAGTAGATACATGGACTTGTGGCTGCAAAGCCTATCTTACTAGCCGATTCCTCATTTGCAAGCATCTTGTAAAACGCTCTGGTCATGGTGAAATACCAGCTTCCGGTGTTCTTGTTCATCGACAATCGACCCAGCCATTCATTCGGATCAGACCAGTAAGTGAAGAACCAGTCTGCAATATGGAACTAAAGTCACTTAATGAACACTGGGTATACTGAAGTATTTTTCATACAAACAGTGGTATGAAAATGTTTTTTCCAATATGCGATTGCTGAGCGGACACGTTCCTGCTCCCGCTTCCATCACTTTCGCCACTACAACTGCCACCTCTGCTATAACTCCCACTATATCTACTACTACAACATCGAGCATAATCGAAATAAGCGATAATGCCAGCGTCGGCGATGTGGACAGTTTCCACGATCAACATGAAGACGACGACTCTGTATCGCCAACAACAACTTCAAATAACGAGAATGCCAGCAGTGTTATTGTCGATAGAGAAGCCGATCTTTTACGACGAGAGCTACAGATGCAGAGAAACCGACAGCAGCGTCGTGAGCTGGCCCTCCGCATGCAGCAGTTAGACGACGAGTATGAAGACGAAACAAATATGTATCGCTATCTCATTCCTGCGAATCTGAATGAACAATTTGAAGTAGCTGAAACAAACAACACCGTCGACACCTATCTGACGCGTGTTATTAGAGAACGTCGCAGACGCACGATTCCAACGACATATTCTGAAACAGATCGATACACACGCCATGTATAAGCTTTTGTAAGTTACGAGTTACATGTGTTGATCCATTACGTACTTATTTATACAAACCATTGTTATTAGGTTTCTATACCTTCTCTCTCTATCTTTTTCTCTTTAGTTTTTTTCCATTAGATCTCTCTTTACTTTTTTTCTCCCTTCTTGTTTTACCAAATTTCTTTAATGTTTATTCCACCATTTCTTCATCATTTTTCAAACTATAATATATTATCCGATCATCAACTTCATGCAACCTTAATAATAACGGTAAGGTGAGTGCATATTATTTGCAGATAGTGGGGATCATTTTTATGTTTCCGTATTCCGTAGCATGCTGTGTATGATCACATATCGATCTAAAAGCTAGATAAGAACTGACAGTCATAAAGTAATAGTAATAGCTGTTAGTATACGTTGGTGCAAATGATATAATATAGCTACTAGCTGCTTTATTTATTTTTTTATTGGTTTTCATATATTCATAAACAATGGCATATACTGATACTACGAAAAAAATGATGCTTGTTGATATGCATATGTACGGATGAACATTGTCCCAAAGCTGACTAGAAAATATTCGCGTTTTCAGTCGGGTAAACTATTTACCCGAAATTTCTCAACGCGAATTTTCGGCGGCCCCAAGAGCACATTCATATGTAATAAGTGGATGTGTCTGTGTTTTCTTTTGCCGTAGTAGTATATTAGCTGTATACTATTACTATAGCATATAAAGCATGATCAATAAAAGTAGCACGAACCCCGGATTTCCATTGCAGATTGCGGCATGTGATGATGGCGTGTGGAGTTCTTTACCGAGAGAGAGAGAGAAATTTATTCAATATCAATGAGATTTGTATGAGCAGGTTTTTAACAACGGAGAGAGAGAGAGAGAGAGGTAATGGGTGAGTGGGATGAAGATGATGATGATAGTAGAAAGAAAGGATCTGTTTTATTTGGAAGATAAAAGAAATAATAAATAGATAGCCAAGGGGAGGGTGAGAAGCACACACACAGAGAGAGATAGCATGGAAGAAGAGAAAGGTTCGAGATGGGGTATTTTTCCCTAAATCTGTTGCTTGACAACGACCGAATTCCTTGCACCGCCATTATTAGCCGTTACCCCTGCGGGTGCTGCAGGTCCCAAAGAATTCCACAAACGTGCATACATGCTTGACCGCTTGTAGTTGTTGTTAGAAGTAGTAGTCATGCCAGCACTGTTTGGCGCACTGCCCAAAGACGTGGCCGAGGTCACTGAAGATGCGTAGCTTTCAGCCGAGTCCCGTCTGTTTGGGTCTGTGATCGAGGTAGGTGACGTAACTCTGCTGGCCAACATGGACAGCGATGCGGTCGACGTGCGCTTCATGTGGACCGAAGACCGTTGAAGCGAAGCTCGCGGTGACAAGGGCATCGTGGAAGCTTCGTATTCCGCCAGCTTGACCTTGGCTTCAGCCAAGAGTTTCTCGAGCTCACGGCATCGCAAATCACTTTCAACGTATTTGGATTGGAATTCTTCGTTGTTTGCAGTAGTAGTAGTGGTAGTAGTGGTGGTGGTCAATTGTAAGGTATGTCGACGCGTCAACGAGGATGCTTGTTGTTGTTGCTGTAGTTCTTTTTCTTTTTTGTGATTGTCAAAGAGAATACGATGAGCGGCAAACACTTCTTCGGTAAATGTGCCGCGCGGCATAAAGTATTCCTGTTTTTCTTTTTCCAACGTCTGCAGTCGTTTCTCCAGTTTCTCCATTTCCTTGGTCATGGCCATCTTTTCAAACTGAAGCTCCGCAGAGGTCCGCTTAGCCGCCATGTTCTTGTCCATCAACTCCTCGTTCTCCTTGGCCAAGTCCTCGTGCTCCTGCAGAATCTGCTCCTTCTCTGTCTGCATGGCGTCCATGGTCGCTTGCAATTCAGACACTTGTTGTGACAACTCCTTCTGTTCGTGCTGCGAGGTCGCGAGTTGCTTTTCGACTTGGTTGTATTTGTGGCACAGTTGTTCGTACTTTTGTCCCATCTCGAAACTGGCAAGTTTGACAGCAACGAGTTCGGATGTCACTTGATGCAATGCTTCTTCACCTTCGCTGCTTTTGTTGCTGTTATCGCCCTTTTTGCTATCATTCGTAGGCATGGAGACGGATAAGTCTTCAACTGCCGTCGCAACAGTGTCGTTTTCGCTGTCGTTCTGGCTATTGCTGTTGTTGCTGCTACTGCTGCTCATGCTGCTTTGGCTATTGCGATACGATGATGTGACCGAAGAACGTTTGGACACGGATCGTTTGCTTGACTTGTTGCTGCTGGCGCTCTTCTTGTCACTGCTATGATCGGCGGCATCTGTTGAAAGTGCACCGGCAATCAGGGCACCAAAGTCACCGCTCATGCGCAGCGAGTCGACAAACGACTTGAACTCCGTGTCCTTTTCGAGTCTTTCGAGCTGACTTTGTTGAGGCGATGCTGCTGCTGGAGGGGGTAAGCCGTTGTTGTTGTTGTTGCTGTTGGATGACGGTGATGCATTAGCAAGCTTGGTCTTGTACTTTTTCAACCGCTTCTCTAGGGTGGCATTGCGCTTGCTCAACTTGCTGCGTTCGGATTCATAGTCGAGTTCGCGCATCTTCATGGCAGTGACGTTTTCGTTCAGTTGTGAGTGTTCCTTTTGCAAGTGGGACATGGCGGTGACCAAATCCTCGATCTGCTGATGCAACGTCGATACGTTACGACGATGATCCAAGGATACCTTGCCGGAGCTGGCAGTAGGTGAAAGCGGCGAGGTGGGAGGTGATACTGAATCGTTCAAATGACTGTTGTTGTTGTGAGCAGGTGTGGCAGCACTGTTTCCCCACGAGAACCACGATTCTCGCTTGTTGGCACGTCGAGTAGTCATGCCATTGAATCGAATGGCGAGCAGCTGTTGAGCTCGATCTTTTTCTTGCTGGGCTTCGATGTGATAAGCCTCGGCAATACTATCGAGCTTGGCCACGGTGATGGTTGATGTCAAATCAAGCACAGCGGCGACGAGCTCCTCCGGGTCTTCGTGTAAGGTGCCGCTTGTCAAATAGGTCATGAGCTGCTCGAACTGGCAGATATTCAGGAGCCGGTCCTGGTGCTTTTGCATTACTGCTATCGCCACGCGCATCATAGTCGGAACTGCGCCCTGAGCAAACACGAGGTCGTACATTCGCAGGGCAACGGCGGTCGGCAGCGACGAGGCAAACAATGTCAAGAACCACTGGGACGCATACATTGGCGCATGGATGGTGTTGCTCGAGAGATGCTGGAATAGACGAGGACATTGTTGTGAAAGCAGCGTTTGGAATTGATGCAGTCGTAGATGCAGGCCTTCCATATTTAGCATAAACAGGGCGCGCATTTCGTGAGCTTCCATCAGTCTATTTATTTCATTTTTAGGGAGGCCGGTTAGTCAAATTAAGGGATGAAGTTACGAAAGACTACAGCAAAAACCCGCCCCTCCCCCTCCCCCCTCCCTCCTTTTCTTCTTCTTCTTCTTCATGCAATCCACATCATCGCCCAAACGAACGATGGATGGGCGGCCGGGGTGTGTGTGTTGAGGATGGGGGGCAGAGACGAGCGGCAACATAAACATAGATGGAAAAGTGTTCACGAAACTCTGAGATGGGTATGATCTATTTACCTGACGAAGCTACAGAATGCGTGTCGTTCGTTCATCTAATAGTTACGGGCGAAATTTCAAGAAAGAGAAGGAACCTTTGTTATTCTTATGCATTCTTGAGCTTAACCTTCTTTTTTTCTTTATTTTTTTGCCCCCAAACAAACAAAGAAAAAAGTTTACCTCCATCAATAATGGTCGTGCAAGCATGGCGAGACCCTGACAATAGCCGACGTGAGCGTCGTACACGCTATATGCCTTCAGCATACGGCCGGTTGCCTCACGATGGTGGTCGGTCATTCGGGCAACGTCCCGATCGATCACTCGCTCGTACGAGGACATGCCCATGTCGCCCTGAACGAGTTTGTCATACATGGACGCCAGATGGGTATCCGAAGATTGTGCCATGGCTTGCCAAACGACGCCACGCCAAGGAGCAGCGATCCCTTGCCGGCGCAAACGGCTGATCAACAGTCGAGCGAAGCGAGGTGCCGCTGTCGTGTAGTTTTGGGCAACGTGCTTCCAAAATCCATCGTCATCTTTACTCGTCGTCGTCGTTGTTGTTCTGTTGTCGTTGTCATTGTCATTGTTGTTTAACTGGTCTAATAGTACGCTTGCATCGATGCACGAGGACTTGGGATCTGCGGCAAGCAAGCTCTGCTGTCGTTCGAGATGTGTCAGCAGATCAAGATCTGCATCCTGTAAAATTTTTCGAGGTCGTAGTTAAATGATGATCGTGTGAGTGATATGCAAAATTTGTAAAGTGCGTTCTAATTTGTTGGAATATGGGTCCGAAAAAGACTTTACCTCGGGTGGCAACTCATCATTTTCTTGTTCGTATCGGTCGAGTAAACTTTCAGTGTTGTTACTTGTTTGCTGTTGGTGTGGTAGTTCTGTATTTGCTGCTGCTACTGTTGCTTCTGGTGCTGCTGCTGTTGATACTACGAATGGTTCTTCTGTCTGCTGCGATGACGGGTCCGGATGAGCCATTTGGGCATACAGACGTAGCTTTTCCGTCGAGGCAGGAATACGTCGTCGCTCGGCCAAGGTCATTGAGGCTGACTTTGTAGGAATAACTACATCGTTTGCTGCTGATGCAGATTCAGGGGACAGTCGATTGTCAGCTGATTTGGAGGGTTTGGGTTGATTGACAGCGAGATGACTGAGATTGGCTGCTTGCAGAATTTCGTCAATCGAAACAGGCCGGTTCGCATCTTGGAGTTGTTGCAATCTTTCAACAACTTCAGGTGAAAGCTTCATTCCAGCAGCAACAGCAGCAGCGGCGGCAGTGTTGTCGTTGTCGTCGTTGCTGTTTATGCTTGTGGTTGTGGTGGTGGTAGCGGTGTTGTCATTAGGTAAGGACGGTGTCGTTGTTGTTTCCTCTTCTTCTCGTCGAAGCGAGGTGGTACTTTTGTCTAGAGCGACTGACATATGTTATATTAAATAGAGCGAGGCAGAGAGTATAGACACACAACAACAAGAAAGAAAAAAGGAAGGAAAAGAAGAGAGATAAGAAGAAGAAGAAAAGAGGGAGGAATAAAAGGGTTATTAGTAGCAGTAGTAGCTGTAGTGATAGTAGTAGTAGTAGTAGTAGTAGCAGTAGTAGTAGCAGCAGTAGCTGTGGTATATAATATTATTATTATTGATTATTATTGATTATGGGTGCGGTGGGTGGGGTCCTAATGGAAAATGAAAGGATCAGTTCACGTTTTCGTGCAACGTTGGTGTCACCATAGACCCATTAACCTCCCAACCCCCTCCAGCTGTTCTTCTACCACCACCACTGCTAGTATTACAAGTACTATGACTGCTACCACCACTACTACCACCACCACCACAACAAGACCAACAACAACAACAACAACGATACATACCCTTTTTTTGATTTGCCAAAGAAATAAAAAAAAAGTAAGAAGAGTGTGGTCGAGAAGGAGGGAGGGAGGCGGACCGGGGGCGGAGAGAAAGGGGGGAGAACAGTAAAATCAAAAGTAAGAAATCAAGAACAAGAGAGATCAAGAAAGAAGAAAGAAAAAAGAGTAGAGCCAGTGTGCATATTATATATAAAGATCCAGATGACATATATACACATACACACACACACACACTCTATCTCTCTCTCTCTCTCTCTCTAATTCTGCGCCCCTTTACGTGTCAGGGGCGAGGGCGATAACTCTTCTTCAAGCAAGTGTTAACAAATTCAGCCTAAGATCTCGCTTGGTGGAGAGGACGGTATATCATTCCTTTTTTATTTTCACCTTCAGTTGCATAAGCTGAGTATACACGCTTATTTAGGGAGTGCCCTGGAGCTAATATACTTTTATTTCTTTTTTTCTTTTCTAAAAGACCTGTGGGGTTAAGTCTTTTGGGGGGGGAACACCCCCGAGAGAGTGGTTAGTAGTAGACATATATATATGTATATACTGTTATGAATATTATTGAGATGTAAAGATGCTTGGAACAAAATGGTCGAGAAGAGGTGTGCTTCTCTTTGTGTGTGTGTGTGAGTGTATTGCGTGCTGAATGAGTTAAGAACAAAAAACTACTGGTGTATGTGATGGGATGTTGGATGTGATGTGATGCGAGTGCGTTCCATTTTGAGTTTTCGTGGTATACTATATATACAAGTTTTAGAGAGTGAAGAAAGCGCAAGAGAACGATAAGCCGTGAGAAGTGGAACAAGCAACAAAGATAAAGGAAAATAGAAAATGCGATCGGCAATAGCATTGAATGGTAATCTAGGGAGTGCAAGGTCGTCGCGTGGGAGAGTGGAGTAGGTCCTTTAAGTATACATAGAGACCACGCACACTGCGCGAGTGTCATCGTCATTGCCATGGATACTGTTGTGGCCATGCCGAGCGCGTGTCGTTGTCATCGTCATCATCATCAGACGCCAGCACCGATGATATATGGATCCTTCTATATTGCGTTGTTGTTGTAGTTGTAGTTGTTGCATGACCCTCTGTCGCCGTCGTTGCTGTTGTTGTTGTTGTAGCGGCAGGAGCAGCCGATGTATCGGAAGAAGAAGAAGAAGAAGAAGAAGCTGCCCTACCTCCTCCAGCAGGATGCTGCCCCACCCGTGTCGTCGATGTTGATGCCGCTGCTATCACTTCCTGACACCGGGATTGAGTAGCAGTAGTAGTAGTAGTAGTAGTAGCAGTAGTTGCTGTTTCCTTTAACTCCGTATGACTGTGATTGCTGCGGGTGCCTCCTGATACTCCTTCTTTGCCGCTCGTTCTTTGTGTCCCTGAAGACACAAACGTTGCTAATGCAGTAACGCTTTTCTGGTGATGACTATCAACAACTAATAATCTTTGCTGCTGCTGCTGCTGTTGTTGTTGTTGTTGTTGAATGACATCTTGTGCAACTTTTGCTGTTGCAGCAGATACTGCTTTAACCGTAGCTGTTGATGATGAGGATGTTGTCACTGATGCTGATGACGAAGACGCTTCTGCTGCTGCTACTGATGATGATGATGATACCCCATGCAGTTCAGTGGACGATCGCTTTGATCCCGGACTCTTCCGGACAGATATTTTAATTCCTTGCTTTGAAAAACAGAGCGACAATGGTGTGGTACCTGTACATACAGCAAGTTTATTATTACGTGTAATGCGTACAGTCTTCCATCTATTCCATACTACCTGTCATGCCAGGGAAATTCTTGGCCGAATAGACCGAGAACGGATCAGAAAACACTTCATGCAGCACCTGAGTGCTCATCGTCAATGGTTCTCTATACAAAGGAAACGTGTTAATGCTGACAGTGCATTGTCGTAAGCTACCAATAGGTTACCCAGCAGTCAAGTCAATGAACCGAAAGCGGAGACAAAAGGCGCCCTCTGTTCGGACCGAGATGTCGTGGAATATGAAAAAGATCCCCAAGCGATCTTGCAGATCGGTCAATTGATGAGCATTGGAGACCAACGTGCCTAGAAAGTTGCGCATTGGCTTTGGATCTTGAAAGGACATCACAGCGGCATTGCTGTTTGGGTAGGCTGGGTTGATCGAGGCTGGGTTATAGACGACGTTTCGGTTATCCTTCCGGTCGGCAGAAAATAAATCACATTGGACGATCAGGTGTGAAACATTATCTGTCTCGCTGTCATTTTGGTAACATCATCAGAGATACTTTCTATTTTTTCTAAAGTAGTACTATTGGGCGGAAGGGGGAGGGGGGGGCGGAGGGGGTTACTGTTTCCCGGATACTGGGAACTTTTTGTTTTTATATCACACACACAAAGAAAAGAGATTTGAGAAAAAGGATGATGTAATGCTTGCCTGACAGGTGTCAATAAGCCGTCCGAATTGGTGACATGGAGCTGGAGGATTGGTGGCGGATTGATGGGCCGTTTGTCCTTTTCGCCAAAACCACAGCAGCGTGCGCGTGTGGGATGCTGAATGACAACTATACAAAATTTGTAGGATTATTGAGATATTACGATTCGTTTCATCTAATCTATAATGTCCCTGGCCTGGCTCAAAGGATCTTTTTACCTAGACGATACTGGATGCTCTTCCTGCTGGGTCGTCCAAGGCCTAATGGCGGCGGTACCACAGTACTCATAGTTTCCCTCCTCTATACAAGGTGTGTGTATTATATATAGAGAGAGAAAAGAGAGGGGCGGATGATCTTCGTCGTCGTCGTCGTATTTTGTAGTATACAAATGTTATGGAATAGGGGTTCTATACAAACGGAAACACTTTTTCTTTCGAAAAGAGAAGGGAGATAGTTTCCGAAAAGAGAGAGAGAGAGAGAAAGGAAAAGAAGCACAAAAGACGAGGAATGGAGTTTGTGTCAACGATTGAAATGCCGTAAAGAACAGGGAATGAGGGAAAACGAAAAAGAGAATGTTCGGTTTTGTGTAGAAAAAGGGAAAGGGTTAGAGCGAGCGAAATGAGTGAATAAGCGGACACTCGCGGAATGGAGCGTTAACAGGTAGGTTTTCGTTGTGCCCAAAAACCAAGGGAAAGGGAGAAAAAGAGACAAGACATAAAGTAAAGAACTTTTTAAGAAGAAGAAAAAATATTCTGTGCCGTGCTTAGTTCTTATTATTCCAGTAGTCCAATCAGTCAGTCAGTCAGTCAGTCAGTCCATGATAGGGTTTTTTGATCAGCCAGTCAGCCATCGTTATCCCAGCCAGGCCAGAGAGCACTACAAACCCGGTCAACCCAGCCAACTGGCCCTACACAATCAGTTAGCAGCAGCAGCAACCAAGGCAAAACAGGGCAGTCCCCACCCACGCCCCCCCCAACCCCTTCCACCCCAATTCTGTAAAGTAAATGTTCCGTTACCAGTTTTTCGGGTCAAGCTCCGCTTGTGCCTAGCTTGGTGCTGTAACTATGTGTGTAATTAGAGTAGTAGTCATAACAGATAATTCTCGGTCGTCGTCATGGTTATTGCCACAATGCAGATAATACAAGAGAGTGGGGTGGGGGGGGGGAGAGAGGGAGGGAGGGAAATTGTAACCAGTCTAAAGCTATTACATCTTTGTTTCTTTCTTGTCTTAAAAAAACACCGTGTTAGTTAGTTTTTCCTGTCCGACGCTTTTGCTTTGCAGATCAGTAACAAGCTCCGGCCGCTTTTTGTTGATTTGTTGTTGCCAAAAGAGATGGCCGGTCTTTGTCTTACACTTTGCATTGATTTGCTGCTATGACTGCACCGATGCACGGGCGGAGAAAGAGACAAGTTGTGTGTGTGTGTGTGTGTGTGTGTACCACTACTACTTACTACTACCACTAGTGCTTGCACTCTGTTCGGATGACCCCATTGGATCAACCTTGGGGGGTGGGGTGCCGAGGGTTAGGGAACGGGGGGTGTAAAACGGCTTTTTTCTTTGTGTCCCACTTTTTTCTCTTGAACGACTATTAGCCGACGCGTGTGTCATTATCAGTCTTTATTTGCCCTACAGCTTCTTCCACACTCGATAGATCACTACTGCTGCTGCTGTCGTGTACACCCCTCTTAGAAACATATGTACTCTCATTCATGCCAGCGTTACGGAATTTCCACCAATGACCCGAAGCGGACAAGTGTACATGAGGCAGATTCCGATATGGTTTAGCTCAGAAACTCAAAATAGTTGTCTGCTGAGGAACAACCGGCTTCGATAACCTTCGAGAACGCTGAAATGCTGCTTTAATCCAGCAAACGTTATTGTCGTCACCTATTCTTCTTCATATGCCACTGTCGATGAAATCGTCTTTCCCCCCTTCCCCTGACCCCCACCCCTTCCTCTAGAAGCGACATCACACTTTCAACCAACCACACACCAAAAAAAAAAAGAAAAAAAACTTTACAGTCCGCCCTGAAATTTCTCATTGTAAACAAAGCCTATCTCGATAACAGCAGCAGTTGACATGGAAAAAAACCTTTTATTTCCCCGGTGTTCGAGTTTCCCTTTTTCTTTGTATTCTAGCACCGCAGCAATAATCATTGAGACAAGTATGTAGCGGCTGTGTGCTGTTGCTTCAAAGAGCTCACAGACAGCTAACACTTCTTTGATGTCGACCCGGTGTGTATGTGTAGATCCAAAAAAAAAAAACAGAAACGGAGCATGTATTACCCGTAACCAGATTCCGTCTTTGTCACACACTCGGTGTGTAACATATCTGGCGCCACCTATCATAGCCCCTCCCCCACAGCTTCTTCAGGCGTTTGTTAATAGATGCCTTGTGTCTTGTTGCCCTCGTTTCATCAATGAAAAGAACAACAGACTGTCGTCCTTGGTACCACAGTGAATACCTTTTGTTTGTGTATTACATAGTGTTGAGAATAAAGTAGATATGTGTCACATACGAAACGCGTCGAAAAATGTTTTTTTTTATTTCGGACATCACATCGATCTAAGGATAAACTACCTTGTAAATAAACTATTCATGGGATCACAACAATGCTATGTCTCTCTCTCTCTCTCTCTCTTTCTTTTTATTTCGTGTATATGTTCCCAAGGAACGGAATAAGGACGGTCTTTTATTCTTTATGATGTTGGTGTTCTCCTGCTTATACGAGTGCATGCACTTACTGCTACTTGAATCCTTTTATATATATATATATATATATATATATATATATATATCCAAGGCACTCGCGCTCAAGTATATGGAAACCATAGATACCAATTACCGCAACAGTGGGATACTCTGCAAAATCAGAGAGGCTAGAGGCGATCTTGAGCTTGTTTCAATTAGGACGCGAGTATGTGACCACTTACTGTTTGTATTACCTTGCGGTCACGTTTTTCATGCACATCAAATCTTGATATACGTGAGTTTGTATTTTTGTTTCAAGCTTCATTGATACCACCAGTCCAGAATTTCACTGGGCTTATCATCTGAGGCTGAGGCCATTGTCAAGTAAAAACAATAAGAGAAACAACACTGTTCAAGTAACCGACTGATTTAGTGGCATACATTCATGCCGTGGTGGCTATACAGCACTATTAAAGTACTTGGCGAGCTACATTGTTCATCCCTCACCAGCACCACACCGTTGACTTTTTACTGTATCAGCTAGCGATCTATTATGAATTAAACGTTTTTATATTTTCCAACAGACCCGATGGTGGCCTGATGATGCAGCAAGCCAAATTAAAGGCATTCTTGAATTCTGGCCCGCCATATTACCACAACTTTTTTTGCAATTGATGTAGTAAACAACATAATGCACCAAACGTGTTATTGCTAGTTACAGTTGTACCTAAACTGTAAGGAGTAATTGAGGGGAAAATGTATGACATTTATATTTCCTTTGAGCCACAGCCCATTGAAGCTTTTGTTGGGATGCAATGTTGGTTCGGTGGCGTGTTATTGTGTGTCCAGGGCAACGCTTTTCTGTCCCGAACAACGAGAAAGAATAAAGAGACGGTTTCAAAAAAAAAAAACGAGGAACATTTTTTTTTTCTGTCTTTAAATCGGCATCATCGGGCCGAAGCAAAGCAGCTGGGATAAATGTAATTTCCTTGGTAACGCAGGCAGAAAAAAAAAATTCTTGGCGTTGGAAAGGACAAAAACCACACACAAAGATACATGGCAGTACCCTTTTATTATTATCCGTCGGACCCGCCACGAGCCTCTCATTTTCCGCTATGCCCGAGCGTTGTTTGGTTGCGACGAGTCGCTCTTTGTATATATAGCCATCTCAAATATCCACCCTTCTCTGTTTTTTTGTTTGTTTGTTCGTTCCTGGTTGTAGTCGTAAAGCTTTGAGCAAATTATAAAACGATGTCTGCGCCACAATACTCATATCCACCACCACCTCAAAATGCTGCCTATGCACCTCCACCTGCTGCACAGCAAGGCTATTATGCTCCTCAACAGCCACTGCAACAATATTATCAGCCAAAGTAAGTCGTCTTGTTTTCTAATCTTTTCCGAAAATTGATAATCCAATTGACTTTTGACACTATCCTCTCTGTATACTTTGGTGCGCAGTCCTCCTCCACAAACTGTCATTGTTCAACAACAAGGTCAGCAAAATGACGCAGCCGAAGATTGTTGTTGCGCTTGGTAAATATCTTCTTCTTCTTTATTATTACAATGGATTCCCAAAGAGAGCGCTCGTGGTGATTGGCAATGGTGTGCTAATTGGAGCTCTGCTGCTCTGTAGTATTCAAACCATCATGTGCTGCTTTATCTGGCAAGCATGCTGTTCGATGATGTCCGAATAATAAGGCCCGGCCATCTTAAGTTCCTGCTCCTTCCTCGTTCATACACATCAACATACAATTACCTGTACATTGCATTATAATCTATAAAGTTAGCCGTACTGCGCAACAAGCATATTTATTTTTTTACTACCTAAAATTATTCGACCGTCCAAGAAAAAGTGGAGGGCACAATGGCCAATTATTTTTATCGTGCTGTCACGCTAACGATTCTAAGCTTTTTTGTTGTTGCGGTGACAACAGTAGCTAGGGGATGTTGCTAGGAAATGAAATTGAAAAGGTACGGCTGGCAAAGTGTGACACATAAAGTTTACCAGTACAACGGTTTTGTTCCATAGAATACGCTGTCATTATCAAGTGAACATGAGCGCACTGGTTTTTATTTTTGCATACCGTGCGTGCTGAAACCTGAACCCAAACAAAAGGTCATTTTTGTATTTGGTGCCACCTCGAATCCATTTTTGCAGCCGGAGCGGTCACACACACGCACGCATATTACAAGCGCACATCCTCTCCGAAGGTAGGCAGTAATAGCAGCGACACAGATCAAGGAGAGCAGACACTATTAGCGGGGGTTACTTCTTTTTTTCTATTTTCTATAAAAAAAAATCCCAACATTAGTTAAAACAAAAGAGATGATGAAGTCAAAGGGATGGGCTCTGGCCATCATCTTTTGCGTTTTCCTCTACTTTTGCTTCTCATCCCTCAATGCCATTGCACAGTCGAAAAGCACACAGCGATCCGCCGACATTGTTATCCAACGGAACAACCCCTATCGACGGTCCAACAGTACACTTTTGACATCAGTCCTGGCACACATTAAAAGCGGCTACGTAGCGAACCGTACACCGACATTCGACACGCCACCATTGCTCGTTTTATTCAGCTGTCGACAACCCAATGCGTGTGGATCGTTTGAAGAACGATTAATGAGTCTCACCACCGCCTACGTGTTTGCTCTTGTCTGGGATGGTGCTGCCTTTGGTATTGACATGGACGCCCCTGTCAAGTTTGACTGGTACTTTGAAATGACGTTGGGTTCCATGAGCATGAACGAGGGCCAAATCGAATTTTATCTTGACAATGACGCTATCGCCGACCAATCGACCCTTTTGGATATTGACTCCATGTCGACCGAAGAACTGCAATCAACCGATTTTATGGCCAAGTACCGTCAAGAGAATGTCAAGATCTTGCGATGCGGTAAATGGGATACTTGGACAGCATTACTCGACAATCCATCCGTCTGGCGTCACCGTGACAAGTACCAGTTACAAAAGTTGAACCCGTCCGAAGTGTTTTGGGTCGTGCACCAGATCCTGTTCCGGAAACCCAGCAGTTGGCTCGAAGGTCATTTGGCGTCGTACCGTGATTTGATGGGCGGCAGCATGTACACAGATCCGATTCAAAAACCACCTGTTCCGGATGACAGTGTGCAGCATCGATGGATGCGCGTGGGCATCCATTTGAAGACCAGCATTCAGGAGGACATTGATTGCGTTGCGGCCAGGGCAGCATTTGTCTGTCGTGGTGCTCAGGTCATGGGCAAGGAATGCCATGTCTTTTTGTCCGCACCGTCCCAGGATATCATCCAGGCTCTTCAAAAGGCAATCCAAAAACGCAGCCAAAAGGATCGTCGTACAATCATTCATGCTGTGTCCGAATCCTATGAGTTTATCCCAGCAGCGTCCATGATCCAGTCACCTTCGGTCCAGTTGTCGGAAGAACAACGCGTCAAGCTCATGTATGCTCGACCTATCATGGACTGGACTATCTTGTCACGCATGGATTATCTTATCGGTGGTCATGGTGACTTGTTCCTCAAAACAGCAGCAGCGGCTGCCCAAGTCGAAACTGGTCTTTATCAGGTTGGTTCTGATGAAGAATGTAAAATCGAGCCCATGACAAGCTGGTAAAATCCCCCCCCAATTAGAGAAAGAGAGAGAAAGCAAAAGAGTATCTCAATTAATATATCAACCACATACACACCGATAACAAAACTATATACTTGCACACAGTCATACGCGCTTCTTTTGTATAATAACATCCCTTTTCCCTCCCAAGTCTCTGCGAGAATTATACATCTTCATATATTTTTATCGATAACTACTACATCGCTTTTTTTTTTGTCTTTTACACTCGTAACTTCCCGTCTTCTTGTTATTGTTTTTTTCTTCATTATCTTGAAAAAATGTTACCTACTACGATTAATACAACACTTTTATATGTTTACATCCATATTATCTTACTATTGCAGTCGGTGCTGTTATAGTGTTGTTGCTGTCATGTTTCAAAAAATAATGACATGGTGTGCAGTTCTACACACATGTCAAGGTTATTTCTCTCTTTGGAGAGACAACAGCATTAATGAAGGTGTTGATACACTTGGTGTTGTGTATTATTACCAAGGATTTTTTTTAGCAAATATACTGGGCTTTCATATCATTACAGCCTGCTTTTGTTTTCCTGTGACACAAACAGATCGGCGTATCTCGTGTGGAGATCGACGACACGCAGTAATGAACCGTGGTAATTATGTTGGATATTGATTATTCCAAATGATAGAACCTTAGAAATGGTACTTTATCCGATTATTTTGGTGATTTAGGCGTGACAATACGCTTAATAGCAAAGAGAATACGACATACAAAACAATAGATGCATCAATACTGTAATCAAAAATGCCATTTCCGGAATCATGCAGCAAGCCGTTTGGGCCATTTCTGAGCCTCTGTTCTTGTGTCCCGAAAATCGCCCAATCCTAATACACAGAGATAGTACTGTGGTCTCTCTTTCACTTACCGATAAGAGAAGAGAATTTGCTTAGCTTGTATGAATATTGACATGAGTGCCGGTCCACGAGCGAATTGATAGGTCGATCGATGGTAAAAAAAAAAGCTGCTTGGTGGCCCTCCTCCTCCCTCTCATCTTATCTTTTACTTGTTTTGAGCTCTTTTAGGTTCTCCTTCTTGTTAGGTTGGTCATTACCAAAATAGCTGGATGTTGGGGCTCCCCAACTAAAATAAAACGGTACTGCCCTAATCGATGATGATGTTTGCGTGTTCACGAACTTTTATATGTACGTGCCGCTGCTGCTGCAATTGATTTCTTTTTTTTGCCTGCGTCTCCGCTCGCTTGCTCACACACTGGGCCGGAATCCTGTATCCGTCATGTGTGCACACTATACACAAGTCCACTAGTTCCTCATTGATAGACAATGCGTACTATCAAGATTACTAGTGATTATTTGCACACCACACGCAATGATAGAATAATTTGGGGGAAATTCTGTGCACAATACAATGCGTACACATAGATAACAGCAATTTATAATTATAAAATTACGAAAACACGGGGCTGATGATGGTTGCGATACCGTATACACTTCATTAATAAATTTACTGCTATTGAGTTTTTGGCACTTTCCCTCTCTTTCTGTTTCTTATTTCTTTCCTTGTTTTGTTTTCGTTCCGTCACTCGAACCCAACACTCTCTTGCTATAGTTGCGCACGCTGCTCACGCATAAAAACATCCACTATAAACTTTACTACTACCATGGCCGAAAGATTTGTTAAAGGACAAGATGGTACTGCCGTCTGCTGGATGTTCAATGAATCCAACACGAGAAACAATCATTGGGATCCTCAACATCAGCAAGAGCAAGCTACTGCCGCCTTTGCTTCCACTACTCTTGATGAGAGCAGGAGCAAGAACGAGTGCGATAATGATGGCGATGATGAATACTTTGCGTGTAAATGGCGATCATCCTCATCGACCTTGGCTTTTCCAAGCTCAAAGTACACCAGTAACAAGCGACCATTGAACGGCAATAGCAACAACAGGAGTGAGGGCAGCAGAAGAAGTAGCCCTTCATTTTGCTTGACCCATCACCAAAGCATGAAAAATTTTTACATAAATGATGAAGATGACGACGGCGATGATGATAAAAATACCTCCAACGACAACGAATATGGCTCGGTTTCGGATTCATCCGAAGACTTTTACCTGGAGGACAGTACCAGCAGTAGCGACGAGGATTATTTTTTCGATCCGTTACCCACGCCGACAGTTACCACCACCATGACAACTACGACAAGTCCTGCACCAACATATGCATCGCCAACAGCGGCACCGAAAGGGTTGTCGCCAATGACGGGATTCTTTCCAGTTTCAATTGTCACTCCATCAGCAACAACGAGAAAAAACAGCAAAACGACAACGTCTACCAAAAGCACATCACCGCCTTCATCAACAACCGCACCCACCCTCAAGGATCGACGACAATTACTTTTACGCCGTTGTGACACCAAATGCTCTTCCGGGCTTAATGAATGGTTTGCAGCCAACTTGCATCATTAAACAAACAAAACTCTTTCCACATTTGTCAAGGAAATAGGGGATGGTCTTTTTAGTAGTAAAGTACATATATATAACAGCACATTTACTATTGCTATCTCTGTTCTCAGACTATTGTATATGTAGCTTATGTCCTCAGATTTGTCATTTCTGAATTTGTAGTAAAAATAAGTACACGCTATTCATGTTTTTGAGATAAAGAAAAACCAGTGAAAAGTGGTGTCATTACAAACACGTATATGCAGATTTAATAATTATTTACAAGTATTGACGAGTACATGTAGATGGAGTGGATGAAGTATATGCAGACATAGTACCTGCTTCTTGTTATGTATTTTGATTATCTACGAGTAGCCTTCATATTCGCTTCTCGTAACAGCAGGTGGAACTCTGGAGCAAACCGGTTACAAATACTTCTCGCAACATGAGGATATTTTGGATGAGCATCTGCCATGACCGTGATGTTGACCTTATCGCAATGCGAAACTAGACCAATGGCAATTCCGCCTTTGCCGTTCTGCGGTGGAAGTACGTACACGTCGCTGATGGTTTTCCCACCAAATTCAACAGGGTCGGTAGGACCAGGAAGATTTGTAAAGACGCCATGGGGAATATTAGCAGCACGATTGACCATCGGCAGCATACCGGTTAATAACCCGGGAAAGTTGTCAAGTATTCCTTGGACAAATATACTGTACATCAAGGATGGGATCCGTGATACCTTGACTGCTTGCATTTCTGCTCGTACTTGAGCCAGTAGCTCCTTTGTATCGAGGTCTTTCATGGAAAACCAGCCCCATATCCCACTGACCACATTTTGGAAGCTATCGACAAACAGGTTAGAAATGACTTTTTTTTTCTCTGGAGGTAGTCGAGAGAGATATATTTTTACCTTTGATCGTCCATATCACGCTGTGAAATTGGAACAAAGAGTCGTACAAAATCGTCATGCCGCACACCATTTTCTTCCAGATAGCCCTTGATACAACGCGTCACGACCAACACCATTACATCGTTGACAGTGCCGCCCAATACACGACGCACAGCACGTATGTCTTTAAGCCGTATGGTGTCCGACCAAGCGACTTGTTTCTTGTAGGATTGCAGGCCGGTATAGAATAGATCGCGGTGGTGTGACAACCTTGCTGGCAAAATACATAGCAAAATCACCCACAAATCATGCAATAATGTAATCCACACAAGATATACGCGGTTCATCCAAATGCAACACCAAGTGGTTAGCCATTGCAGCCATGCTGGGAACAAAAAATAGATTTGGTCCGGGATATCGTTGAGCAATGGTGCTGTTCGCAGTAGTTGCTTCTTTTTCTTGTAGTTTGCATTTCGTCTTTGCTGTTGCTTTTGCCTGTTGTTGCTCTTTTTGTATGTACCGTCGTCCAATGATGCTTTGTTGTTCTGTCTAGACGGTTCGTGGCTGGTAATCTCCAACAAACTATCAATAAACCCAAGTCCATCGCAGAGACAATGATGTGCCTTCCAGAAAAATGCGCATTTTTCATCGTGTAGGCCCGAGATTGCGTGAAGTTCCCATAATGGTTTAGAATAATCGAACGGGCGCGATTGCTAGTAGGTTTTCCAAAGAAAGAAAAGGTCGTAGAATGTTTTGTTTATATAGAGATCCTTTCATAGACGAATTGCTTGTTTGTTGATATGTATCGTGGGCATATACTTTACCATATCGGAAATGTATTCTTGCAAAGACTGTTCGCTTGGAGCTTTCAGTCTATGATATTCTATGTTCATATGCGGTTGCCATCCGATCGGGTTACTCCATACGGGCGTATATAACGCAGATCCGTGTGCTGGCACTGAAGCGTATCGAGGGAATTCATCGCATAACTGTTCGACGGATTGGTAAACAATACGGGAATCAAGTCGACCGTCAAACACCCACAGACTGCTGACAGTCATCAATCGTCGCGGATGTTCGATTTGCAGGAATAAATTATCCATTCCGGAGAGCTTTTCTTCCTCTAGCATGTTTGTTCTTGGTGACAAGTCCAAATAATGCAGTAAAGAAAAGATTAACAAAATTGAAATCCGCGAAAAGGTTATTCTTTTCTTTTAAACTGTTTCAAATATCGGAACAGCAGTTGTTGCTTGGTAATACAGCAGTAATTATTTAGTACGGTCTCGGGCAGTTATTCCATTGCACGCTTTTTTCCTTCTCAGTTTGAAATCCTTGTTGGAGAAAGCGATATGATATAATGATGACTTGAGGTCGCCCTCTTAATAAAAACATACAATAGCACTCTTACTACCTTTTATTCAGACGGTAGCATAAAGTTAGATGTGAAAACACGAAATACTACAGTTACAGGCATTTCACGTACGGTGATTGCAGTTATGGTCCATAACTTGAGCGTGACAGCTGTCAAGTGGATGGATGATCAGGCCCAATAGCGGCTCTGTGAGTGAGATTTCGCAATGTAGCACAAGTTTACTGGGGAACACATGAATGCTTTGCTGCGCGTAGATGCGAGTAGATGCGAACAATGAGAGAGAGAGTGTGTGTGTGCAGCAGCAGAGCAGTCACCGTCCAATTTTTACTGGACGATAGCTCATTTGTAAACCCGAAAGGTGATACCACCAACCACTTCCCTTTCGAAACTTTTGCATAGACATGTCAGCAAGCGGAAATCAGTCAGGCGATGAAGGCGATTTGGATCTCAAGGAGCAGGATCGTTACCTTCCCATTGCAAAGTAAAGAAAAAAATATATACAAAGCATATAGACGCGTGTTGTTTTCTGCACATTATGAGTGTCGTCACTAGGGCTACTGCAGTACTACCTACCACCTTGATACTAAATGGATAAAAACGTATTGTTGTATTTTTCAGTGTTGCACGCATTATGAAAAAGTCATTACCGGAAAACGCGAAAATTGCCAAAGAAGCCAAAGAATGCGTTCAAGAATGCGTCTCAGAATTCATTTCTTTCATCACTAGCGAATATCCTTTTTTTTATACGCCAAGTTTTAGTGGGGAAGGAGGAGAATCAAGATAAAGTAGAGGCAGGAGGAAGGGGGCGTGATTGCTTTTTTACAAGAGCCTGCGTAGTGCAGTCAACAGAGTATTAAGAATACCATCCTTAACCCAAAACGTGTGCCCGTCATTACAGCAAGCGATCGTTGTTTACAAGAAAAGCGCAAGACCATCAACGGAGAAGATATTTTGTGGGCAATGCAATCATTGGGCTTTGAAAATTATGCAGAAGCACTCAAAATATACCTGGGCAAATATCGAGAGGTAACGAAGCGCATGCGCGAGAGCAACAGTGGTTTTTTTTCTTCTTAAAACCAATAAGACGGATAATTGACTAAAATGTGAAAAACCAGACGACCAAGTTGGAACGAGCCACTTCATCCACAAAAGACAAAGAAGACGATGCTTCGCCTGATTCAAAGCAATCACAGCAACAAGATCAGCAGCAACCATCACCACAACAGCTCTACATGCAGCAACAGCAGCCAACGTCTCAGCCAGGCCAACCACCAGCTGGCATGTCTGGCAACTTTTACAACGGTCAATAACACATTCAATTAAAGAAATCAATATCAAAACGTATACTGTGCTCGGGACTACTATTGTTCGTCTACATTCATTTGCTACAAGAGGGAAATTAAGGATCTACGCTTGGAAGGATCGTCATTCGTACTCTATCTTTTTGGAGCTAGTCGAGAATCAGTATATAGGATGCATGTGTTTTCTTACAAAGGGAAAAGGAGGATTCATTACAAAAATGCGAGAACATGTATATAAGAGGATGATTGAGTTATTGCTTGATGCCGTACTGGGCCTTGTACTCGCGCATAAGAGTCAATTGCTCGCCATAAGTACCCTTCTCCTCCATAAACTCCATAATGTGATCCATGGTGATGATAGCGCGGACGGGGACACCGTTCTTTTCCTGGACAGCCTGGATGGCCGACTTGCCAGAGCCATCGGGTGCGACTTCAGCACGGTCCACGGCCACAAGAACGCCGGCCAACTCGGCGTTGTTTGCCTTAATGATACCGATCGATTCGTTGATCGCAGTGCCAGCTGTGATCACGTCATCTACCACGACAATTTTACCGCTCAAAGGTGTACCGACAATATCGCCACCTTCACCGTGATACTTCTTTTCCTTGCGGTTGAAAGCGAAAGGTGCTTCTTGCTTATGTTCGTTCGTCAACGCGAGAGCAGTGGCGCACACCAAAGGAATGCCCTTGTATGCAGGGCCGAAAAGAACATCGTATGTGAAGCCGGCATCAACCAAAGCAGCAGCGTAGAAGCGACCAATCGCACCAAGAGTCTTGCCACTGTTGAACAAACCGGCATTGAAAAAGTAGGGTGAGACACGACCGGATTTCAAAGTGAATTGACCGAATTTGAGCACATTGTTCTGTAAGGCAAACTCAATGAATTCACGTTGGTATTCTTTCATTGTTATAAATTTTTTTTCTTGTTCAGCAAAGAAGAAAAAACTCAAAAAATAAAGCTTAAAGGTCGGTAATGTCGGAATGTAGCGGACAGTCACCCGGCTTCACGCCAGTACTATGTGCTACATACCAAAACGAGGAACTAACAGATCCACAAGGTTAATTATGTTGGACGCTAAGGATACTTTGCCATGTTTGTGAAAACTACTATGTTATATGGAAGTCTGAATCTGTTGCGTGTTTAGATAAACGTCAATGTGGCTGAAGACTTGAACCATTAGTCGATGGCCACCCTGTCAATACGTACGTAACGTACATACTGCAGTCCAGAATGGTAAAATCTACATACTCGCTGCAAGACACGTCGTGCGTGTCGGGAGACCAGTATATTACATGATGGCGTATATGCAAGCTGTGGGTCATCCCTATTTAACACATCCCTGCGAGAGTTTCTGGAGACAATCCATTCTTCTTTTCTTTTTGCGTCATTGATAGCCTCAAACGATACGATACAACTGAGGAGCAACGTGCCAAACAAACACATAAATTTCTTGTTTCAAAAAAGAAGCTAGTACATATATACTATCTATCATTCGAGAGAACAAGAATACAAAAGGCGGGTAAGTTACAGTACTTTTCACTCTGGAATCTCTTTCTTTTATACTCCTTTGTCAGTAAAATACACGATATATAAATGATAAAACGAACAAGAAAAAACCATTACTTGGCTACTGTTACGCATGGTATAAAATTGTAGTGATTTCTCATGTTTAAAGAAAAAGGGAAAGGTAATCATATCAGTGGCGAACCAGATGACTCCATCAAGGCTTCCGAAGAAAATGAACAAGCAAAAATCACAGTAAGTACTTTAAAAAGCATTTTTAAACAGATATCTGATATCTAAGAATAACACAACACGTTATTGCTCTGCCCAGGATGGCAAAAGACACATTGGATCTTTAGTAACGAGGAGGGAAATGGTCGAAAATCACGATGAAGACGGAACGTATCATCAACGCCACAATCATGACGAAGATTTAAACAACAAGACAGAGGAGGGCGGTGAAGGCTCGACAATCGTTGTCGATTGCGGCTATGCGTGGTTTGTTGCAGCTGGAGCAACAGCAGCATGCTTTTTTGCATCTTTTTACCCTGTCTGGTAAAATACACTTTTTTGAACGCGTTTATAATTACGATCGACAGCGATGGCGATAATTCTAATTGAACGCATATTTTATGTAATTTTTCATACATTCATACAGGGGTAAGGTTTGCCTCTGACTTTTACGCCGCCATAGCAGATATAGCATTGCTCCTAAATACTCACCTATCGCTACGCAAACTTATTTTTGCTGGTTACTTACTATTGTAGGTGTCATCCAAGATATGTACATACGAGATCATATCTTTTCTGGTCCAAATCTTACGACACAAATGACATTGGTCGGCAGCATATCTCAAGGAATTGTAAACTTTGGCGTTCTTATCAGCAGCCTACTATTAGACCGCTTAGGGGGCACTAGGAATTTGTGTATACTCGGATCGTGCTTCATTTTTGGTGGATTTATGCTGACATCAATATCGACTTCGGTAAGAGCAGATAACCACCCGCCACAAACAGGAAAAAATGGTGACAGCGATTGATGACGTATGTAGTGATGGAAAGGATATGTATAAGTGTTAACAAAATGTATTATTTTGACGTAGGCAGATATGGCAAATATATCTGTCATTGAGCATTGGTGCAAGTTTTGGCGCAGCGCTTCTATTTGGGGTTAGTGAAAAAGAAGCCTTTTTATTATCTCTTGTTGCTTATGGTATTATGCATTACTCCTTGCCCGTACATATTGATTTAATTTCGATTAAAATAATTGAAAAAAAACAGACAGCCACCCTTTGTATTCCACATTGGTTTGAAAAGAAACGTGCAACAGCTTTCGGGATACAATCGAGTGCCACCCAATTTTCTAGTCTAGTACTTCCTTTCATTGTCACGCGTGTGTATGACACTCTCGGTCATCAATGGTATGAGAGAAACCGTTGGATGATAATACTGTTGTATGATGGGTCGCTAAAAGAAGACATTGTAATCCTTTCAGGGTATTCCGCGTTCTCGCTTTCATATCTGTAGCTATCAACGCCATAGCTATCGCCTTTATGAAAGATCAACCTACCAGAATGGAGAACAGTAGCGGAGAGCAAATATCCGGCAGCAACAAGAACAAGACAATGAGTTTTGATCTGAGTATCTTTAAGATTACTGACATGCTAATTTGGTTACCAACTTATCCAATGTCAATGAGTTCGCGATTTATCGTGCTTATGTTCTTACCGAACTATGGAACATACATTGGCCTTTCCGGAACTAAAGTAGCTGCAGTTACTGCAATTGCATCGGCAATGAGTCTATTTGGTCGAATATCTCTTGGGTAATCCACCAAAAGATACATATGCACAGTACATGTATTACAAAACATTGAATTTACAAGACGGAAATTAAATAACCTTACGTCGTGTATTCTGTAGTATAATGGCAGATCGCTTTGGTTATTTGAACATATACACTCTGAGTAATGCAATGACTACGTTGACCATTCTCACCATGTGGATGTTTGCGAATAATTTTGCAAGTCTCATCGGGTTTTCTGTGGTATATGGATTCTTTTGTGCAACTCAAGCTACAGTTCGTACGTTATCTAACTGTGATTTTTGTTTTCAATTACATGCATGGTGGGGAGGAAAAAGAATTTTTTTATCGCTCACGTTCTCTCTGTCTTATTATTATTTTTGTATATAGATCCAGCGGTAACTGCCCGTATAGTTGGTATGGAGAGGTATCCAGCCGCTATGAGCTTTAGTATGGTCCTGAGCATTCTAGTTATCCCACTTTCGCTTATTGCCAACAGCTTGTCCGCTGGTATTGGAACTGCCAAGGATCCATTTTTAATTTACAAGCTTAGTGGTGGAGCACTCAGTGGTCTCTGTACAATACTAGGGCTGGTCACGAAGTTTCGATTGGATCGGAATTTGTTTGCAAACGTGTAGTGCCATATAGAAGTAAAACGGTATGCCTTTTGGCGCTGGTCAATCCAGCCTTCAATAAAATAAAACCGGTATTTAAACTATATAAAGTGGTGGCAATTGTATTAAGTACAGAAGGAAGCACATGAGTAACACGTTAAACGCTGTACACAAGGACACACATGCATCTAGATGAAATCCAAATACATAAAACTGCTAATGTATGTTTTGTCGGTAGCTTCTGTCACTCAGCTGCTATTTAGAGCCTATTGTCAGTGCGCGCTATATGATGACGCTGATGCTTTGAGCCCTTCTAAAATTGAGTGCACAGATGTGATAGGCTTTTTTATATTTTTTGTGGATATTCTTTTAAACACAATGCAAAAACAAACTGCAATAATGATATAGCTAGGGTAGTTACATGCAATTAAAATGACGTTTGTAGTAACTATTTATTACAGAAGACAACAGAGAAAAAATTAAATATTTGCTAAAAAGTTACGTTTTAACCGAAACTTAAGAAATAGAGAGAGGAGAGCGCAGGCCGCGTATCCTACTCCAGCAATAATCTTACAGTAAAGAAAGGGATGTTGAGTATTGTTGGCCTCAACAACACTTGCAATGAGTGGACCTAGTACAAAGAATATGAATGCAAGCATACTGATAGAAACAGCGGCAGGATATTTCTCCATTGAGCCGAGGATGTTGATGACCACAGGTGCAGCTAATCATTCACATGTAACAGTTGGGTGAGTTTCCATATGTAAAAAATGGCTTGGATATACAACACAGAAAACCTGCTCCAATTTACTTTGTCACAAAATAACACCGTTTTTTACAGGGGCTGTAAACCTTACCTAGTGTAAAATAACTTCCATATACCAGACCATTGACAACAGCGAATAGCAATAACACCCCAAAGTTGTTGGCAAACATCCAAATAGCAAAGATCGAAATTATGCAGATAAACATGCACATAATATACGTATTTAGATGCCCCAGTTTATCGCCACATATACTAATATATTCAACAAAAGCACATTTTATATGAATAATGGTGAGTATTGAACTGAAATACATAATTTCCGTATTCTCTCATTTCCTCACTTACCCAGCTGCAATTCTGCCAACAATGCCAGCTGCCGACAAGACTGATATGGTAGCTGCACCTTGTGTTTCAGTCAGTCCAATGAATGTCGCATAAGCTACAAGGGCAGATTAACTGACTTAGTGATTGATTGCTACTGACTATGAGCATTGGTTCTTCTATATGTGCACTACCGTGTTCTGAAAGTACTTGAATAAAAGAGAGCCATTTGACTCAAGTATACTTACAAGGAATAAATACAAAGACAGTATAAGAAGCGTACATTTGAATTGGACCCACGACCACCCAAATCATCATGTTCAGATCTTTCAGTATAGGAACAAGACTGACAAATTGCTTTTTTACGCTTACTGGCGGTGACTGGACCCTTTCTCTAATAAGCACAACACTTGAGAGGATCAAAGCAAACGATATAAATCCAAGTACACGGTATGTCCTTGTTCACACAGAATAGTCACCAAAGATTTAAATTTAGTACCTTCCATCATCGACGACGGCTAAATTAATTTTCTGCGTCTACTTTTGATACATACCAAGGTGCGCCGAGCGCATTGTTTATGGCAACCATGATATGCGGCACAATAAGAGCAAAAATTGCAAAGGTCGATGCTTGTACACCAAAGGCAGTTGCCCGGTACTTGACAAACCATTGTGGTAAAATCCTCAATCCAACCTATGTAGTGGTTATAGAACAGTCAGCACCCAACATGTTGTAGTGCTCTAGGATCTTTAGTTAAAGTAAATGTGACGACTTACAGTACTGAAACACGCGATTCCGAGTCCTGTACACACGCTTACTGACAAATAAAGTTGCCAAATCTACAAACACATTTGGGACACATGAATTAATCGTTTTTTTCCACTCTATATAGCAACGACATGCTGATGAGGTACAACTTACAGAAGTAGCTAAGCTAGCCAACATCAAGCCCGCAGTTGTCAGTATGAGCCCAGTATAAAGCACAGGCCTGAAACCGACACGGGAATAGATTAAGTTTATGAAAAACACGCATGATAGTACCATTGCTTGGAAGAGAGCGCCGACAAATGTCAGTTTGATATTAACGTCCGTGTCCGATGCAAATGTACTACTTCGCTTATAATGGTCTTGCATAATGCCTAAAATACGAATTAAAGTTTCAGTTTAATCAGTTCTTTTTTTGGAACACTGAACCATCTGTTGCTGCTGCTCGTGTTCGAAAATGCCAGACAAAGAAAATACGTCTCTCTCTTGTACGTGCACGTACCCCTTTTGGTAAATAAACGTGTTGGTACAATCCAGTGTTGATTACACTACTTTTGACTACCATCATCAGAGTAAAAAAGCAACACTACGTACCAGCAATTTGGTAAGCCGCAAAGCAATGATATAAGAAAACTTCCTATTCCAACTGTCCAGGCCTGCTTTCCGTCAGTTGGCAACTCTTGTTTTTTGGGCTGGCCACCATCGTTAATATTTGATTCTTCCATGTGTGCATCGTAAGGCCCATCTCTTTTCTCGTCCGATTGGTCGCAGAGCGCTGGCATTGGTTTTTCATTTGACTCTTGACGACCCGACGGACAAGTAGCAGGAAGATATCCTTCGTCTACTGAGGCCTTTGCCGTTTCATTGTTGCTCTTTTGATAGTTGGATTTCAGCATATCTGGCCAAATAGTACCACGTCTGTCGTACTGAAAATGTAGAAGGTAGTGGCAAAAATGTAAGAAAGAAATCTGAATATTAAATAAGTAGAGGGAAAGGCGAAAAAGCGAGCGTGACTTTCCGCCCGCTATAACTAGAGTGAGCTTAGTCAAATAATGCTGGCTATGCATATCAACTTTCATAGCGCCGTTATTCAGAAGTATACGGCGCGTTTAAACGCAAAGAAATAAAGCCACAAAACCTTCTTCCACATACATATGCAGCTCTAATATGTAGGCTCTGTATAAATACAGCTTAGAGGCACTTTGGGCGTAAAGCGAACAAAATAGTCTGTGCTTCGTCAAATTTGTTCTCCAGCTATCACGCCATACGCCAAATGAGCACATTAAACCCTTATCTCATTTCAAGAAAACACGGTGTTTTCCACTAAGATAGAGCTATGGGCTAGACGCTACCGAGTAATTCTTGGTGAAAGTGATTGACGTCAATCAAAAAACTTTGGCAGCAGAATGTCAACTACACTACTGAGAAAATTGTTTTCAACGCTAAATCATCTAGTGAAGATAATCTAACGGGAGAAGACACATAAAGAGTCCGAAGGAGAAAAATAAACAAATACTCGAAGATGCGATCACTTGCATGAGATGCAAACAAGCAAAATCGTGTGCATGAAGAGATACATGATTGCTTTGCTGTAACAATATATAAACATGAAAAGTTATGGCTTCGAGTCAGTCTGGAGCATATGCATTTGCTACACTTCGTTTCCGATCCAAGCAACAGCAGTAAAAACTTTTTTAAAAATGAGTCAGTTTTGGCATCACCAGCATGTTAGAGCCTACTTTAGCAGAAGCCAAGTCGTGCAAGGTACGAAGAAGCGAGACATTCATTTTATGCAGTAATGTTAGAGGAGCATGCGGTTTTTGAAAAGCGCTCTAATAGGCAAACCAACCCCTTGTTGTCGATCTCCGTTTCATCCCGCGTATCGTAGCAACGGCAATTAATCCCCCGACACATTACACGCATTCTGCATATTGTTGCCCCTGTTTTACGACTTATATCAATTGTCTACTTCTCATGTTTTATACATTGACCCACTATTATTTTAAACAATACAGTCCCCTATATTGTATTTCTCAATTATTATCTGTATCCAACACATAAAGCAGTACAAAAGCCCCCATAAACGAATAATATTAGCTCAGAAGAGCACAAAATGTACTCCTTGCATAAATCGTCTGACGCAGCCGCTCAAACACACCAACACGAAGTCCGACGCCGCTACCAACAACACCAATCCTCACAAGCCAATTGGGCCCGAAAAACGCCCAGAAATGCAATGAGATACGTAGCATAGAATATAGATACAGATAGAATTTAGTTTAAAGCTTATATTCATCTGAAGGTTAATGACGATACGCTTATAGCATTCTTGTCGCTTCCTTGCGGTGCGGTGATTGAAAAGAAGAAAATAATACATAGTAGGAGGTGGTGCTTTAAGTGAAACAACCCTTCTAAAGAGGAAAAAAGTCAAGCCGAATTACGATGTTTGGTGAGGAGAGGTAACGAAGTACATATAAATGAAAATGTAAGAGTGGGAAGGGAAGAGCTGCTTATGTAGGTTATGAGTGTAGTGAGGGATGTGGAGATGATGATGATGCCACGTTGTCCAGGTCTAGCGCTTCTTCGGGTGCCGGTTCATTGGTGCCGTAGTCAGTGTCCGAGTGGCTTAACTTGTCCCTTTCCTTCAGCACGCGAAGTAATGCCAGCCAGATCGTTATCCATTTGCCGCGAGACAGTTCTATATCGAAACGTGATAGTTTGTTAATGTTAGGGTCGATGGTATGCAGCTCGTTGTCTTGATTGGTTGGTAGTGTCGGAGGAGGCCATGTACAACTGCTGGAGTAGTGGTGTCAGCGATGGGCAGCTGGCGTCGCGCTCCCGTTTCGCGCGTGGTGCTCCGCAACGACAATCCTTAAGTGGATAGGATGGTAGCTAGTGCATCCTCCATCTGATGAGGCGACGACGGTCTCTGGGAAAAGCGGCCAGATAGAGTATGGAGCAAAGTATCCTGGATGGCAGGAGACATCGTATGGTTTTGAATGAGCTGCGTCGACGGGTAAGTTCTTCATCCCGCTTTTGGGCGATCACTAATTCCAATGCGTCATTCAGCGGATTGTTATTGGTATTGTGCTTCTGGTATCGTTGGTGTAGAGGATGGGTGGTAAACATTTTCCTCCAATAGTCGTCGCCTTGCTTACTCCAAGGCAGCGAGATTTCAATTACTCTAGCCATGCTGGATACAGGCAGAGACCGTAGACCGGTGACAAATTTTAACTGGAGGGTTCGGATGCGAGGTAGCATAGGTGGTAGATCGGCCAGCACCAGAAGTACGATCGTAGGAAATGAAGTGGTGGTATTGCGATTGAAAGTCATTCTGACGCAGCTTTTTTGTGCTTGATGTATCTTTTTGAGTTGGGATAAGGCGGTTATTGCAAGGCTGAATTCAAGAACTGGGCGGATGAAAGCTCGATATGTTTGTAACGCGGGCCAAAGTCCCATGTCATATTGGTGAACACCGAGTCTCCGCAGGAGAGCCACTCCTTCAGTTGCTTCAGTGCTGTGTTGGCTGATAAGTTGTTGAGCGCCAATATCCTGACAGGTGAATGGAATACCAAAATACTGGAGTAATTCGATGGTGCGTAGTGGTTACGGAATGTGAAATGTGGTTGATTGACTGATGAGGATTGGTCGATAATAGGGGTGCCAAGAGTAGCCTAAGTCTCGCGAATGTTTCTCGGCGATTTGTAGGAGTTGTATCATATTCTATGGTGATCCTAGAAGTACGACACCATCAGCATATAGAAATGATGAAAGAAGGAGCTGGTGGGTGTCTGGCCTATCCTTCTTCGGACGTCCATTCTTGCCACCGCTGTAGAGTTGTGTCTGAACTGCCGCTACAGATACACCTATTAGAGATGGAATGCGAAGCTGAACTGGGTGATGGTTTTAAATGTACATAGAAATCTGGAGACGGCGCGGCAGCGTGTCGATAAAGACAGCGTAAAGAAGTGGACTCAGGATGGCACCAAAACCACGTGCCGAGTGGATGTAGCGGGATTGATAGTTATGGAGGATGACTGCGATACGGACATCGTCAAACATGTGGCGAACGAGATGGAACAGAGGGCTCAGCAGGTTGCCCTGCAACTTTGATCAAATGTCGTCGCGTGATGCTGGGTCGAATGCTTGCTTGACATCATAAAAGCATAGGATTGGTGGCTCGTCATATTGGCGTTGATACTCGCGGATTAGCATGTTTAGTGCGAATGCTTGGTCGAGTGCTCCCAGTTTGAGGCAGAAACCATCTTGGGCAGTATTTTGTGCAGGCATTGCGCTTAGTAGTTTGGCTAGCAGGCGGCGCTCAACTACTTTGAGTAGCTCACTGGTTAGACCAGATAAAATTTAGAATAGAAAACGATATTGAACAATCACCTCTTTCACTTAGAAAAACTTTCATGTTATAGGCTGGGCGAAGTTCCCTATTTGTGCGCCTTTATTTATTGTTCTTTCACTCTAGGCCGCTAAACGGCTTGTTTCATCCATAGTACCTTACAGCAAAGATTGAGGTCCTTTCCTTTTTTGTTCCCAAACACCAGGAATCATATTCATTTGTCATCGAGTACAACAACAGCCGATGCTATATTTGACAGAAACCAGACAGAGGTCTATTAAAAAGGATAAATTTCCTATTTCTTATTTCTTAGTTCCTTTGGCTTACAGAACAGCCAAGAAAATGTTGCATCAAACGATGTTATTCCTCGTGCTCAATAGAGAATACATTTCAGTTGCAAGCTTAGCTAAGGCCCAAATCCGAAAACCACGAAAACAATATGATGGCCTTTTTTTCGCGCGGGTATAAAATTTCCTAGGCGGCTCGAAGTAGGCGCTTCCGATCTTGTGAAAACCATTATCCTTCACGAAACGATGACAGCTTATCTTAAAAATAACGTTTTAAACGTGTATATACTACTTTATGAGTTTTGGTTTTTGGCCAAAGAAGCGTCACTACAATCTAAAACTTTTGCGTGGACTCTTCCATTTCTTCGGATCAATGGCCAAACTAAGCACATAGAGCTCTTTTTCCAGAAAGGTAGCGGATCGTCGCGGTATTTTGACATATTATTGTCGTGTCCTCGTGTCCAACGCTTTCCAGCGTCACCAACGGCTCTTCTACCAGTCGCTACTATAATAGTACGTAGTATGGTATTGTCAGCATAAGGACTCTATTCTCCAGTCTAAGAAAAACACTGATCTTTTTTAAGCCTCCGTTGAGGTATATACCCGAGCTAAAATTGATGGGTTTGCGTCCTCCCGCATCACAGACCACTACATTACCTTCCCAACAACGCTCTGCCGATATAGATTCACACTACGTAAAATGAAAGCTTCTGATTCTTTGAAACAACAGTAATCTACTAATCTGCAATAGCATATGTCCTTGACAAAAGCTAATCAAACTACTGCATTTCGGTTAAAGCTACAATTCTCTCCAATTTACTACTGGAATCTAAAGCTTCTTCACTAGAAGCAAATTTAGAGACATCATTCCGTGTATTAAGAAGTATCTGAACAGCTTACATCTTAATTAGAGTTTCATACCATGATTAGAGACAAATTTTACAAAAGACAAGATATCAATGCTGTGTCGAAATAAAAAGAAATTAAAGGGGGAGATATTGTATGATCGTCGTGTGTTGTGTTTGTTGTATGTCTCTCTTTCCAAGATGTCGGATTTTGGCCCAGGCGTCAGTTCGAATCAACATAAAAATAATCAAGAATTTTATT